ATTTTAAGTGAATTTGTAGTTGGCTTTTTTGCTCATGCATCTAACGAATCATAGATTGAAATAAATAGGAAACTATGTATTTTTTTCCGTGCACATGTAAATTGATTTGATTTAAGATGTTAGAACGAAATCAACGCTCATCTGCCAAGCTTTTTAATTATGGGCTCGAAATTATAATAATTTTAGATCAGAGCATGTTGTTGTTGTTGTTCTTGTTGAAAATGGCATTTGATTATTATTGTTAGTGTTATTGTTATTGCTGCAAACATTGTTTTTGAAAGTTGAAATACTTGAGCCATGTTAGCACGCTTCAAATTGATGTTTCTGTTTATATTACTCACTTATGTATCTTCCGGTATTGGGGCACAGACAAAAACGCAAAACATCAAATTGAAAATGTGTTCAATAATAATTGAATTTATTTTAATTTTTTCTTTACGACCAGCATCTTTTTTAAGCGCCTATGCCAAATGTGTGCGTTTGTGGCCATTATATTTTTGAATTTTTTAATATAACGAAATTACCACCAAATCGCTTGATCGATAACACGTAAAGTAATTTTTCAAAAATAATACACCAACTGCAGGGGATTAGTAAATGGAACAACATTAGTTAGCAATTAAGAGCGCTCAGACAAGGTTTTAGGAATACGGCAAGAGCTTGCAGATGTCGCTACAAATCATAATGGAAAGGTGCAGCGCCCAGTCTCAGCCCCCGCAGTCACGATGATTGATTAAGCTGCCAGAATCGGACAAAAAGAACAACACTAGATCGTCTTTAGCTGCTGTTGTTGTTGTTTGTCTTTTTGTTTCTTTTTTGCAGAGAGCTGAAGCTGATGATATATCTCAGTGCGCCACCTAGCACCGGAACTTGCGCACACTTTTTTACTATTAATTGCCACAAGACTTCATATTTTAGTTGTCATCTTTGCCTCTGATTGGTAGCATCTCTTTGATTTTGTTGAGCCTCTGCTTGGTAGCATCTCTTCGATTTTGTTATGCTCTTGTTTTGGACACGTTTCATGAAGTGTCGGTGCGTTGCTGAAACGTGTAGTCTCGCTTTCAAAACCACATCTGAAGTGTAGTCGCACGCAAAACATGCCATTTGCTCAATATAAAAGGAACAAGTTGATATTTGATGATCAAATAATTCATTTTATTCTCAATTCCTCGACAGTATTTTAATCACAAACATTAGTTAGTAATAATATATAGTATGAATAATATAGTGCTTTGAGCCACACAAAAGCAAAGACACAAATATATGTACGAATAAACATTTCTTAAATTAAAGGCATCGTTTAATTATTATGAAATGTCAAAAACATTGTTAGAATTTACATAATTCTTGTTCTTAATAAACATTTCAAATGAAACATTTGCTTTGGTTCGAAATTTAAAAATATGAGGATTTACTTTTTGTAACTTTACATTTCTTTCCACAACAAGACGTATCTTTTTAAGGAGACTTAATAGAGTATTTATAATACAGAGTAATCTAGTCTGATTATGGTAAATGATAACTTAACTTGTATTTATTAATAATAAATCTTGCTGAAAAGTGAAAAAAAAGTAAATTTCAGATATATTCTACTCCTTTTGTTCAAATGAATCGTGTTGGGCTTAAGGTGTTTAATCCGTTCTGCTAGAAATAAGAGAATGTGAGGTGAGGTATTATATGTTATCAGCTCGTATAAGTAAAATAAGTAATTTCAGATATATTCTACTCCTTCACTTCAAATGAATCGTGTTGGGCTTAAGGTGTTCTATCCGTTCTGCTAAAAACAAGAGAATGTGAGGGATTAAAGTCGAATGGCAATGAGAGTTTTTTAGAATTTCCCAAAATTTAATTAAAAAGCTATCAAAGAAACAGAAATAGAAATGTGTTGAGAGACAGAGCAGTGTGCCCTAAGCTCACATCACGGCCAAATGATAGAGCTAGAAACAAAAGTCACATCAAGAAGCAAAGTGATACAAATTTGATTGTTTGTTGCTGACAAATGCGTGTAATAATTATAATTATGGCAATTTCTGAAAGAAAACCCACCACAAGTAGCTATTTTTAGCAGAACAGCAGCAGCACCAACACGAAAATAGCACCGAATACTCGTGATGTGTTCGTATAATGGAAATCGATTAGCTTGGCTGGCCGAAAACCAAGTCAGAATGCCTTCGTGCTGCTCTTGAAATTGAAATTTGCTTGCCACACAACCACAACAACAGCAATCAATGCGCGCCTGCGCCGAATGCACTGTGCGCATGCGTAGTCCGCTTCGGGCCCAGCCAGCACTGTGGCATTGTCACCCCCATCGCCCTCGCTACCCTCGAGATCGCATTCGCTGCCGTTGTCGTTGTCGTCAATGGCTCGACGGTCTCGAGCAACGCGTCATGCCGCCATTAAACCGGCCGCTCTTATAAATACGCCGTGCGTTGGCGCAGTTTTTGTTATTTGAACTTCAAATTTGCTCGAGTTCGGATCGTCGTGCCCCAGAGCAGCAGGCAGAGGCGATTTGTGTTGTCGTGCGTCGTCGTCGCTAGCGAATCGCGCGCGTTTCTTACAGCGTTCTATACGCTTGCAAGTGGGTAGAGCTGTGCATGCCATATAAAGTGATTGCTTGCTATAAAGAACACTCACACCAACACTCACATACGTCTATACTTTTAGCTGCTGACGCAATTGTCTGGATACATTTGAGTGCCTTAAATATATTAATTTTGTGAAGATGGTGAGTGAGTCTGCAAACATAAAGACTGACAAAGAAAATAGTGCATAAACAAGTGCTCGGCATATACGAACAATAAACCATAAACAATAACGGTGAAGCCAGTGATAGAATGCCAGAAAAGCTCACACTTTTTTGTCATGGCCTAGCAACGACCGTGCCAGAGGCAGAGCCGCTGCGGCAGTTGCAGTTGCAGTTTCAGCAACTGGCATCTGGTGGCGGCTGTTGTCTGTCAAACAAAATTGCTCAACCGTCGCACAGAGACTTCGACTTCAAAAACTACGACACCGACGACGACGACGACGACGATGACTTCGACGACGACAGCGTAAAAGAGTTTCTAAAAGCGACAGCAAAAACAAACAGCGTGTATGTAAATTTGCATAAATGCGATACAATTGAAGAAAATCGGTACAAGTACAAATAAAATAACAGAAAACAGCTGAAATAACGCAACGACCTGCCGCAACATCCAATGGCGTTTGCTTTTGGACAAGCCCTTGCCTCTGACTCACTCACTTACCAAGCCATTGAGCACGTGAGCAAGTGAGCGGCGCATTGTGGCGACCGGAAACACTCATAAATGGGTGACGTTTTGGCCCCACTTGTTGGCCAGCTGGCTGGCAATTCTTCACGCTCTGTGTGCGCCTCTGGCCAAAAATTACGGCACATGAGCGCGTTCTTGGCCGCTCACGCACACAGACGCCTCACAATGTGGCAATGTCGATGATGAGGCAACACGGCGCATGCGCAACGCGTCGCAACGGCTGAACTTCACACTAAACTTAAAGTTATCGCACCCCCGCTTGAATGAAACAAAGCACTTCTGAACTAAGGCGCTAAACCACTGTGCCGAACAACTGCAATTAACACTTGTAGTATCATCACAATTTTCTTCTGTCTTTGCCTTATTTTCGAGTGTCCAAGGTTGGCGTCGCAATTTTAATTGATATCTGCACGCGTCAAATGTGACAATTTACACGCAGACAACAGTCTGCCCTTCAATATTTTGTTATAGTAGTTGTCTAAAGTCTACCAAGAAACCATGGAATTTTTTTATGATGTTAGATTAGATTATATGAGCTATAGTGATGATGAGGAAACGATTTCATTCTCCCTATTTGCATCATCTACATGTTCTGAATGCTCTCCTGTCAAGGTTACTAAATCGCTGTTATTGTACCTATTTTTACTTAAAATGTGCACAAATGCAGTATAAGACAGGAAGTCGGTTAATAGAAAAGCAAAATAGGAGAACAATTTGGGTATAAGGTGTGGCTATTATTTCAACCGATTAATTTGATTTGAATTTGGAAACATATACTCGTATAATACTTCTGATTCAGTTGTTTTATTGAGAGGGGCATTGGCACCAGCATACAAGTAGTATGTAAGGTCTAACGTGTAAGAGCAGTTCTAGAAAGTATCACTGTAGAATATCCAAGAGAGTGAATGCTGTCTGACTATATCTACATTCTCTTGGATTTATTTAATAGGCCTTTCACCGTTATACTATTTTTTGCCACTACTTGTATCTACAAGATTGAGGGAACATATTACCATTAACTAGACGAGAAAACTGTTGGATCTTGGAGCATGTTTTTCAATATAGCAGCTCACGTTAATCGCAGACCATTTTCGTGCACCTTGCAATTCCAATTGAGAAGTGACTCGTCAAATTTTCATTCAGATTCTGTCCACTTACAACGACTTGGCCCAAATATGGGCCGCACCTCAATTGTAACGCAGATCCGTATTTTGTGCTCGAATTACCGACAGAACTGTGTCACGGGGGAGCTGTTGCTGTCGTTTGACGTGACTTGCGTTTTGGTGCTTCATTTAGTAGCATAATTGATTTAATTATTAAATAAGGTTGAGCAGTAGGCCAGTTTTATAATATCGATTTGATTGCTATGGCTTAAGCGGGCTCAAGGCCAAATACTTTTGTAATCAATTACACTTGCCTCAATTAGGCCAACTGAAAAACGGAAGTATTCGGGTCTAACAAGACAACACATCAAAGCTAAAGGAATGTCGTTGCCAAAACTAAGGAAGCCATTTTAAAATCATCATCAAAAGAACATATATGTACTACGCCTTCTAACAAGCTAAGAATTTATGTCGTCTTATTTTTGCACAGCCATATACAAATACTTATACAAGCGCGTAATACCAAACTTATCTTAATTGGGATGTGGCTTAATGGACACAGCTCGAAGTTTATTTCGGTTATAAAAATAAATTATTCAGAAATGTGCAGAGAACGGAACAGAATAAAATGGAGAAGATGCTCGAAATGGTAGCAAAGTTTGAGTTAAACAGAGGCACGATGACGTGTCAACACATCCGCTGATATAGTGGGGGTCGGCTAAAGTGCTGGCATCTGACAGTTTTATTACAAGTCATAAGACTTTGTGTTGCAATTGCTGGTCATGCCTTGCGCCAATAAAAGTAATATTTTAAAAAACAAGGTATTAGTGAGCCAATCTGGTAGAACAGACCGAGACTGGCTTTATGGCCTGACAACTGACAAGCGACCCAAGTGAAGTAATGAGTGCGTCCGCAGCTCACCTCAGCCGCACTTGATGTTGAATGAATGTTGAATTCTTTATTTTTAATCACACTTTTTTGTATTTGCTGCGTGTCAACATTTTCATATATATATTGCGTGGGAGGCTCATGGCAAGCCTTAGAAGCATTTGAAGTAACTTTTGTTTTTGGTTTTGTTGTTGCTATTTTAATGATCCAAAAGATGAATTCTTTGTTTTTAAAAATGCTTAACAGCCAGTTCAACTCAACAGAACACAACAATGTTGCAAGCCGACATGTTTCAATGTATTGCCTTTTTAATGGGCTGTTGTTAGATTGTTTCGTTTTTATGGCTTTAGCTTGAAGCGCACTCGAACAGCTTTAAATGCTGCCAAAGAATTCATTTCAAAATTTATGTGCTTCAGATTGAGCAACATTAGTATTCCGGGTCTCTTCCCGATTGCCATATGGGTAAATTAATCGAAAAACTCGTTTGACTGCTTCTCTAAGATAAATTAGTTCAATGTGATTTTGTTAGCCAGGCTAATACTGAAGATTAGTGTAAAGCTCTAGTAATATACTCGTATGCCTTAAAATGCCTGTGGCGCGCTCAGTGAAAGACTTAGTGACAGAATGAATTCAAGTTAATTTATGTTCGCACATTAAGTTCATTAAATCGGTTGCATTTTATTAAAATTAACGCCTTTGTGCTTTTAAATTTATCACAATATTCTGTTTCCTAATTTGCAAATTAAATGATCATAATAAAATGTCTGCCCAAATTGATTGCCGAGTTTCTTGAACCTATCTATCAAAACAACAATCCATTAGAAAAGTGCGTGACTTGTGCGTAAAACCCCAAACGTCCAGCTCACATAACCCAATTAGCAGTTATTTAGAACATTCGATACTCTACTGCATAAATTAACACCAAGTATTAAATTATAGGCCTAAAAACAACTTGAAAAATTTAACTACAGTGTTAGGAATGTAGCTGCGACCTTGGCTCATCAGCTACCAGTTTCCAGCGATGTATTTGCAGCTGTAAATTGTACGCCCCTGTTAATATTAAACTTAAAATAGCCACTTGCCATGGACTTCCACTCAGATAGCTATTTATGGCAATTATTTTGAAAATGCGTTTAAGTGCTTTGAGATTATTGATTATCAATAAAGACGACATTGTCTATTAATTTTAGTGCACACCATCTTTGTTTAGTTGCCGAAGACACCAGCAACAAAACTCAATGTCTTAATTTAAAACATATTTTGCAGCTAATTAATGTCTGCGGAAACTTTTAACGTAGTTTAGGAGCCGCCACTTGACATCCAAAAACACTTTTAAGTGACAGTAAAAACAACCTAATCCCACGTAAATGCTGTCAAGTAGTAAAGTAATATAGTTGCAGCGTGTTGAGATTTATAATGCTTACTTTTTTGAACATAGACTTATACGACCTTTTTACCATTTATTTGCAGCACCATAGCTTGCTGTGGCTCGTCTTGGCCGTACTGGCTGTGCGATGTTATGGTCAGTACTCATATGCGGCGCCGCAACAGAGCAATGGCTATGACTATCCAAAACCCGTAGTACCATTTACGGACGGCTATTCATACCCGAAGCCTGCTATTCCATTTCCACCACGAACCAGTCCGCCAAGGGTTGTAACTCCAGCACCAGCCGGATATTCGTACCCAAGGCCAGCGATACCATTCCCACCGGAGCAACCAAAGTACATACCACCGCCGCAACAGTTTATACCACAGGAGCCAAAATTCTTGGAGCCACAGAAGCCGGCAACGGGTTACTCTTATCCCAAGCCAGCCATACCGTTCCCCCCACCAACAGCTCCACCGCAGCCGAAATACTTGCCCCCAGTGCAGCCAACCAGCCCACCACAGCCAAAATATTTGCCTCCGGCCGAGCCAACGAAGGGTTACTCTTATCCCAAGCCAGCTATACCATTCCCACCACCAACAGCACAACCCCAGCCGAAGTATTTGCCTCCAGTGCAGCCAACTAACCCACCACAGCCTAAATATTTGCCACCCGTGAAACCAACAAACCCACCACAACCAAAATATTTACCACCTGCTGAACCAACAAAGGGTTACTCATATCCCAAGCCAGCCATACCGTTCCCCCCACCAACAGCTCCACCGCAGCCGAAATACTTGCCCCCAGTACAGCCAACCAGCCCACCACAGCCAAAATATTTGCCTCCGGCCGATCCAACGAAGGGTTACTCTTATCCCAAGCCAGCTATACCATTCCCACCACCAACAGCTCCACCACAGCCGAAGTACTTGCCTCCAGTGCAACCAACAAACCCACCACAGCCTAAATATTTGCCACCCGTGAAACCAACAAACCCACCACAACCCAAATATTTACCACCTGCTGAACCAACAAAGGGTTACTCTTATCCAAAGCCAGCCATACCATTCCCTCCACCAACAGCTTCACCACAACCAAAATACTTGCCTCCAGTGCAGCCAACCAACCCACCACAGCCTAAATATTTACCACCTGTAAAACCAACAAACCCACCACAACCCAAATATTTACCACGTGCCGAACCAACAAAGGGCTACTCATACCCTAAGCCGAGCATACCCTTCCCTCCACCAACAGCTCCACCGCAGCCCAAATACTTGCCTCCAGTTCAGCAAACCATCCCACCACAACCAAAATATTTACCACCTGCTGAACCAACAAAGGGTTACTCTTATCCCAAGCCAGCCATACCATTCCCGCCACCAACAGCTCCACCACAACCAAAATATTTGCCTCCAGTGCAGCCAACCAACCCACCACAGCCTAAATATTTACCACCCGTGAAACCCACAAACCCACCACAACCAAAATATTTACCACCTGCTGAACCAACAAAGGGTTACTCATACCCTAAGCCGACCATACCCTTCCCTCCACCAACGCTTCCACCGCAGCCGAAGTACTTGCCTCCAGTGCAGCCAACGAGCCCACCACAGCCCAAGTATTTGCCGCCCCCTGAACCAACGAAGGGTTACTCCTATCCCAAGCCAGCCATACCCTTCCCTCCACCAACAGCTCCACCACAACCCAAATATTTGCCACCCGTTAAACCAACAAATCCACCACAGCCCAAATATCTTCCTCCTGTTGAACCAACAAATGGATACTCATACCCCAAACCAGCTATACCATTCCCTCCACCAACAGCTCCCCCGCAGCCAAAATACTTGCCTCCAGTACAGCCAACAAATCCACCACAGCCTAAATATTTGCCACCCGTTAAACCAACAAATCCACCACAGCCCAAATATCTTCCTCCTGTTGAACCAACAAAAGGATACTCATACCCCAAACCAGCTATACCATTCCCTCCACCAACAGCTCCCCCTCAGCCACAGTACTTGCCTCCAGTGCAGCCAACGAGTCCGCCACAACCTAAATACTTACCTCCCATCGAACCAACAAAGGGTTACGCTTACCCCAAGCCTTCAATTCCGTTCCCACCACAAACTGCGCCCCCACCTCAGACAAACAAAGGCTATGACTATCCTAAGCCTGATATACCATTTCCGCCACCTAGAGTAGGGGGATACTCATACCCGAAGCCGGCGATTGCATTTGATTTCTAATCTGTCAGTGCCCCTCACTTATTAATAGACACGATTGCCTCTGTGCGTGCTTAGTGATCCATAGTAGAAGCCTGCGAACTTAAATTATAGAGAATAACATTAATAACTTAATGTAATGAGTAATTTTAATGCTGTACCTGGCCCGCGTCCACGTCATACGTAGGCATGGGCTCGGAGAACGAATTATAGTCATTAAAATATTATTCTTAAATTTATTATGTAACTGCGATAATTCGAAAATAAAACGAACGATATATATACATATACTTGCATATCACTTATATATCACTTTCAAACTCGTATTTTAATGTACATATGTATGTAGCTTTCCAATTACCCACAGCATATAAACACGTAGAGACACGATTCTGATGTAAATGTATGCTGTTGAAACTGCATTTAATTAAATTAAATAATTTAATTAATATACTTTTTTTTAAATCAATTAAAAAATTTTTTTTAATTTGTTCTTTTCTGTGTACAGGGTACAGGGTATTTAAAAGTTGAGCCTGCTCGACTTTAGCATTCATTTCTTGTTACGTTTTGATTAGGTATGCAAATTTTCAATATCAATATTGAGGAACTAAAATGTAAGAGTTTTCAGAATTTTGTTCCTCGTGTCGCTAAGATTTTATTCTGAGTTCACAAACTTCTGCTTTACATTATGTATGTATATTCACAACATATATACAATAATTAAAATTTAAGCAACCAAATATCTGTGAGCTTCAAAAGTAGAAGAAATTAAGCAACACAAACGAAATATTGAGTTATAATAAATGATTTGTGGGTCAGTTGCATAGATTAACCAAAAATTATTTTCCAATTATATACCTTTCAAAATATCGGAGTATTAATATTGATATTACTATCTTAGATTCTATAGATTCTATAGTAGTTCTGTACTGGGTAGCTTCCATAAGGTTTCCAGAAGATGACAGATGAGGAAGATGAGAGATTAAATACTTACCCCAGAAACGACGGGCTACTACAAGTAGTTCAAATGTATAGAGATACAAAAGTATTTACACAACGAACAGTTTTATATGTCTTTCATCAATAATGCCTTTTTATTGTCGTTGAAGGTATGTAGCAAATAGATAAGAAGGTTTGTCCTTGCATAACTTCATCCACGCAGAATCAAAATATAGATGAATGAAATGATAACAATTCAAACGAACATTTTTTTGTGTGTTTTATAAACAAAGCCTTTTTGTTGTTGTTGAAAGTATATGGCAAACAAATAAGTAGGTTTGTTGTGGCATACCTTGGTCCATGAAGAAACCAAATCTAGATGAATTGAAAAGATAACGATTCAAACGTCAACATAAGAAGCAAATGAACTGATGCGTATTAGTGTTTCAAAGTATTTACACATTTTTCATATGCGTCGGGGGTTTAAGCACAATCCTTTGACTTAATTTTCTTCTTCTAAATGCAAGTTACATATATTTAATGTTAATTTAATTATTGTTACTCATATTTACTAGATTCAACCAAGTGTCGGGCAAAATTAAGAGTCAATTTGAACCTAATTTTCGTTATTTTAGTGTGATACCATTTCGATCCTTATAGATAGTTCTCGGCTACTTCATAAAGGGGCAAACACTTCCCCCCACTCCCCCCCCCCCCCTATGGGGGTTTTCCCGATTTTCCATTGGTATAATCGCCTATATTTCGGAGACTATAAGACCTAGGAACACCAAATTTTAGTGCAAGATGCCTTATATGAATACGCAGAAAATGTATATTTCCCTCCCTCTCCCCAGTAATTAATGACCTTTCATAACTGCCGCAATTCTTGGAATTTCGAATTTCAAATTGCAGTTAGTGATTATGTGTCCGTATGCCAAGTTTCATCATGATAGACCGATTTAGCAGGAAGTTATATCCATAAATATATTTGCTGCCCATGCGCTGCCCGCAGCTGCTGTTGATGCTGGTGCTTTGGTTGACTGCAAACATGTTTACACAGACACAAATAGACGCGAATAAAAATACATACACTCGCATAGACGCAACTGCTATGTAAATGTACAATTATACACCTTTTACGTGAGTTCGAATACTGAGAGAGGTAAAATCGAGCATTTTTTTTTTTTTAATTTTCTTAATTTTTTAAATTTCTATAATTATTCTAAACATATTGAAAGTCGGGACACCCGACTTCAGCTTTTTTACTTGTTATTATTATGAGTATTGATAATGATACATATTCTGTAAATATTGTTACTAACGCATAATTTATTACAAAGCTCTACTTACATGGCAAATCACATTTTATTACTCTAGTACATAGTTTGTATATATACTGGTATGTATGTATTTACTTTCCATAGCGAGTGGTTTCACATTTTAGATTGCATGCTATACGGCATTAACTTTAATTATTTTTGCACTGAGAGCGAGCCAAAAAGTATACTTCATTTACTTCCCAATTATAACACAGAGAGCCACAATATTTGTCAAACTTATTTGAATACATTTCACAAAACTGTTTTAATGAAACGCGCCTTCTAATTTATTAAACAGATTTCGTTTTTTGCTCACACATTTCCTGTTTGAGAATTGAAAGTAAAGAACGCCGCGAATATCTTAAGATGTTTGATTTTTTATAGCTTGATAAATCATTAAATTACTAATTGTTTACTTTTGTCAACTTCACCAAATTACTTTATTAGTGCATATATTAAATTGCTCACTGACTTTTGCCTTTTCTGAATAGAAACTAGCATTTCCTGCTTGTTAGCACTGCGATAGTAAAAATAAAAGGTTGTTTTGAGTTTATTTTTCGATCTTTATTTAGCATTTTCGTTTTCCTAACAACTGCCTTAGAAATTACAGATATATCATTGAACCGTTTAGAAACAAATCAATGCACGGCCTACTGATTTTGGATTGATCCTCGATAATTACGGTGTTGTATAGGCTTTTAGACAGCAATGTCCCTTAGTACTTGCGGCGACGGATGACGCGACGACGCTGGGTCTTGTAGCGGTAGCCATCGTTAGCAGAGTAGGTGGCAGCTGGAGCAGAAGCAGCAGAGTCGTATGAGTCAGCAGAGTAATCAGCAACTGGTGCAGCCTCATAGCTGGGAGCTGGGGCCGAAGCTGCTGGGGGCAAGTATTCGCTGGATGGAGCAGAAGCGGCACCCTGGAAGGGGGGCAAGTAGTCGCTGGAGGGAGCACCACGACGGTGACGGCGCAGGACAACGCGACGGCGGCTCTTGTAGCGGTAGCCATCGTTGGCAGAGAAGGTATGAGCTGGTGCGACGTCAGAGGCGGCGGTCTCGTAGGTCTCAGCGGGAGCGGCGTAGGAAGCAGCTGGGGCCGAAGCAGCAGCGCTGTAAGATGGAGCACTGTATGACTGAGGAGCGGCGTAGGACTCAACTGGGGCCGAAGCAGCAGCGCTGTAAGATGGAGCACTGTATGACTGAGGAGCGGCGTAGGACTCAACTGGGGCCGAAGCAGCAGCGCTGTAAGATGGAGCACTGTATGACTGAGGAGCGGCGTAGGACACAGCTGGGGCCGAAGCGGCAGCGCTGTATGATGGAGCACTGTATGATTGAGGAGCAGAGTAGGAGACAGCTGGAGCCGAAGCAGCAGGAGCAGCGTCTACGCTGTAGCTGGGTGCAGCATACGATGCGGCTGGAGCAGATGCAGCGCCTACATGGCGGTTAGGGGGCAAGTATTGGTTGCTGGGGAGGTGGCTGACGTCAGCAGCGACAACGGCTACGAAGGCACAGATCAACAAGAATTTCTGGAATAAACAAATATTGAGTTGTTAAATAACTTTTCACGTTCCTGCAACTAGTTTGCCGAAGGATTGTCGTACCATTTTGCTCGATTGTACTGATCTCCAGTTCACTGTAGAAGCCAAGTGGAAATGATGCTGCTATCAAGCTTCTACCACATATTTATATGATTTTAATCCCGCACTGCTGCTTTGGTGATTCTACCAAATTAGCATTTTGCATTTTATAATTTATGTGTATTTTTTGTTTGTTCTTCAAGAAACAAACGCAGACACCGCTCAAAAAAAGAACATTATAGTTTTTGGTAGCAGGTTTCTGGCTGGTTTTGATCTGTTGCGGTGCGGTCGCGTGTGCTCTTGCCGGTAATGATTTTTATTTGTTCCATTACGCATATGAATCCCGACATGCAGCCTGCAACTCGATTAAATTGGCAATGATGTGGCATTTTAATGGCTTGCTGAAATCGAGCATGCAAAAAGCAGGTTCCACAACTGCCTTTTTCTGTTGCCTGTCAAACATCTGTGATCTTCGCGCGTGCCGATAAATGAATTTAAATCGAGTTTCAATTTGTTGTTAACGGCCTGTAATGGCAATAACACAATAAGACACTGCTATATTGGCATAATTTATTTATTTTTAATACCACAGAAAATTGAGGTAGACATTTTGGCAGACAGAAAGTCGAAAAAAGTGTTGCATACTTAGCGGATCTTAATTGACATTGGGTGTATTTTTTGAATGTTTGATCATATCCGCGGGTGCTCTGCATTTCTCTTCAGCGGATAAAATGTAAAATGGTCTTAATCTTTAACCTATTAAACCCATAATTGATATACATTTCATTAAAACAGCTAAAGCCGCATTGAAATGATACAGACATTTCCAATTAATAAAATGAAATAATTCGAAATTCAATTAAATATGTTAAATAGGCTTCTAAGCTCTGAAGCTAAACAAGTGAAGAAGCAATAATCGGTTGTCTCGGCTTTGAAATACTCTGCACATAGATTAATTAATAGAACTTAAAATATTAACAAAATTTTTAAAGAAAAAAATTTATTTATTTTAGCACCCTTTGTATTCGAACTCACAAAAAGGGTGTATAACTGAACATTCGAAAAGGAATTGTGTCTATGTGAGTGTATGCATGTCTATATGTGAGCATGTGGGGAGAAAATCAAAAATGTTAAAATTATAACAGGGCTAGATCGATAAAAATGGCTTATTACTAAATGCCATGCACCGTTAAATTAATTTTTCAAATTCGTTGAAATATTAATGTTTGAAATATTACGGAACTAAACAATATTTAATCACAAGACGTATCAGTGTTGTCAGTGGTTTCTTTCTAAAGCTTATGTAATTTATATAAAACAGCATTAGAAAATGATTTTGAATATTTAGAACTATTGCACAATCAATGAAAATAATCAATGAATAATATGCAGGGAAACTCTAACTCTTAATGATTAAAAACGTTTTTATGGATTTGTTTTTTGTTATTTTATTTCGTTGGTGAAAAGAGGAAGGATTCTAATACTAGTATTTGCACTCCAAAATGAGTACAAATCGATCACTTAATAAAACAAATCTGTCTAGGAAAGTTTAGTGGCGACGAAGCACAACACGGCGCTGAGTCTTGTAACGGTAACCATCATCGGCGAGAACAGCAGACTGCTGAGGAGCCAAGTATTCGTTGCTGGGGACGGCGACCTCAGAGTATTCCTGAACTGGGGGCAAGTACTCGTTGGAAGGCAGCTCGTTGACATCACGACGGTGACGACGATAGACGACACGACGGTGGGTCTTGTAACGGTAACCATCATCGGCGAGCACATGAGCTGGGGCAGCCTCAACTGGGGCAGAAATTTGGATAGGAGCAGCCTGGATGGGAGCAGCCTGGATAGGAGCAGCCTGGATGGGAGCGGCCTGCACGGGTGGCAAGTATTCGTTGGAAGGAGCAGCGACAGCTACAGATTCCTGAACTGGGGGCAGGTACTCGTTGCTGGGCAGATGGCTGACATCACGACGGTGGCGACGGATCACAGTACGACGCTGAGTCTTGTAACGGTAACCATCATCAGCAAGGACAGTCTCGGCAGCAGGGGCTAGGTATTCGTTGCTGGGGGCAGCGACCTGAGCGTATTCCTGAACTGGGGGCAGGTACTCGTTGGAGGGCAGCTCGTTCACATCACGACGGTGGCGACGATAGACGACGCGACGATGGGTCTTGTAACGGTAACCATCATCGGCCAACTCATGAGCTGGGGCAACCTCAACTGGGGCTGAAATTTGGATGGGAGCAGCCTGGATGGGGGCAGCCTGGATGGGAGCAGTCTGGACAGGTGCCAAGTATTCGTTGGAAGGAGCAGCGACAGCTACAGATTCCTGAACTGGGGGCAGGTACTCGTTGCTGGGCAGATGGCTGACATCACGACGGTGGCGACGAATCACAACACGGCGCTGAGTCTTGTAACGGTAACCATCATCAGCAAGGACGGTCTCGGCAGCAGGGGCCAAGTATTCGTTGCTGGGGGCGGCGACCTCAGAGTATTCCTGAACTGGAGGCAAGTACTCGTTGGAGGGCAGCTCGTTCACATCACGACGGTGGCGACGATAGACGACACGACGGTGGGTCTTGTAACGGTAACCATCATCGGCGAGTACATGAGCTGGGGCAGCCTCAACTGGGGCAGAAATTTGGATAGGAGCAGCCTGGATGGGAGCAGCCTGGATGGGGGCAGCCTGGATAGGGGCAGCCTGGATGGGAGCGGCCTGCACGGGTGGCAAGTATTCGTTGGAAGGAGCAGCGACAGCTACAGATTCCTGAACTGGGGGCAGGTACTCGTTGCTGGGCAGATGGCTGACATCACGACGGTGGCGACGGATCACAGTACGACGCTGAGTCTTGTAACGGTAACCATCATCAGCAAGGACAGTCTCGGCAGCAGGGGCTAGGTATTCGTTGCTGGGGGCAGCGACCTGAGCGTATTCCTGAACTGGGGGCAGGTACTCGTTGGAGGGCAGCTCGTTCACATCACGACGGTGGCGACGATAGACGACGCGACGATGGGTCTTGTAACGGTAACCATCATCGGCGAGCTCATGAGCTGGAGCTACCTCAACGGGTGCAGCTTGGATAGGAGCGGCCTGCACGGGTGGCAAGTACTCGTTAACGGGGGCAGCTACCTGCACTGGGGCAGCTTCCTGCACAGGGGGAAGGTACTCGTTAGAGGGCAGGTGGCTGACATCAGCGGCCACGGCTGCGATCACGGCGAAAGCGACCAACAAAAGTTTCTGCAAGTATACACAACGACAACAAATTTGCGAATGAGTCTCACGTGATTATATTCGATAAAGTCCTTGAATTATAAAGTTTATAGTCAAACGGAAACACTGATTTGTTAATACTCGGATGGGTCACTTGGGGTCTTTGAATGCATACCATTTTGACCGATGAGCTGCTTGTTCACACCAGTAAAACCGAAACTCTAATGAAGAATACGCAGAACTTTTTGGTATTTATACAAATTCTTCGCTTTTCGCCTCACATTACAGCGCTCACAACTCTGCGCCAACCTCCGCGCAGTCGGAGTAGTCGCTGCGTCGCCGCAGCGGTCGTTCGCTTGTAAATTCGCATAAGTTGTTGGCTCGGCCTACGTTCTAAGCCTCTCTTGCGTCGCCATCGCTTAGGTAGATGCTCGCTAAAGTTTACTCATTCTGCCAACGCCGGCGTCGGTGTCGACGTTAACGCTTACATTTGCCCAAAAAAACAAAAAAAAAACAAACAAAAAAAACAATTTAAAATAAAAAAAATAAGAAAAGCTCGAGCGGCCAGCATCTGAAGTTCAAAGTCAAAAAAGTTTAATAGCTAAGTCGATCGAATGCTCACACTATAGGATTCTCTTAATTGTTTTATTTAATTTTATGCAAAACTTTGATGGACAGCAGCGCTTGCACACACACACAGACACACACACGCACACACACACACACATTTGAGCAGACAATCGCTTTCTGTCAGCGGTTGTTTACACCTTTAAGAGTTCAGTTTTTGGAGCACAGAGCTTGGCTAAGCTCAACTCTTTTTGGTCATTGTTTCTATTTTGTTTCATTCACACCGCTTTATAACGCGCTCGATTTGAATTCAAACGATGAGTTATATGTTTCAATCAAACTTGATCAGTTCAAAAATTGCCTTTGCAGCTTCAACTGAGAGCTTGTGTATTTTTTTCCTCTGTTTATTTCTGTTGAACTTCGTGTAGTTACCAAGCTGCTGTTATTCATTAATCATTTAATAGGAACTGCCAAAGCGGCATACAATCAAAAAGATCATATAATTATGATAGTTTCCTAAGAGCGCATCAGTATATTTCGTTATACATACATATATTGTGTATTGTATATGCCGGATATTTGCCACACATATTTCGGCAACATGTCCAAGCCCCTTCATAAGTTCATCCTCATGCAAATAAAGCTGTTGCCACCTTACCACCAAAACATTTGATTTGCCAAGTATTTCTATTTGTATTTAGAGTCGGGAGGTAAAAAAAGCATTTAATTGAAGGCGTTTTTTTTTTTCTTTTGCAACCGAAGCGAAATCCGCATGATTGATGGCCAACCGAATTGAAATTGAAATAAATTACGAATGCGACAGCATCTGTTGGCACATCAATTTCAATGCTAAACACTGTCATAAAACAAGGCTCGTTAGTCGCATCAGCTTCAATTGGTTCCGCAAATTGAAGGATACCCTAAGATGACTAATGTTGTGTTTTAAAACACCTGTTGCATAGCTTTTATAGCCTTTATAGAAATTGAATGTCAAGAACAGTACATTGACATGCACTACCTTCGGGTGATTCGCACGGTCTTAAAAACAAAAGTGCACTTTTTTTTTTGTAATACCCTTTTTCAATTGATGCATTGAAATTGATAAAATACTGATTTATTCTTATATTGAATCTTATTTCTGTTTAAAGCAATTGCAGTTATCTAGTTCTATTCTATATTTTATTTATAGCTAAACAGGCAGCATTACTTCCAATTGTACAACGTATACGTGGAGTCACAAAAATAAATCTACAAAAGTGCATTTAAGTGATTGTGAAGCGATGTAAAAGCATATACGAAATAATAACTTCACGACTTGCTGTGAAAGAAAACAATGAATGAAAAAAAATGTATAATTATGAAACATTTGATTTTTATTTACTTTTCGTTTTTGACATTTTCAGATGGTTATAAACTAAAGCCTATATGTGTATGTACTTTTACAAATTTATATTTCTAAATAAACAGTTAGCATGCCAACTGGAAGCGGTGAAATTTGTTAACATAAGACTGGGTAAAAGACGGATTCGAGTTTTTTTAAGTCCTAACAGTCAGTCTTTTCCTGCAAGTATGAAAGTTTATATGGACGCCGTAAGCGAAATGTGAACGCCGATAAAAAGCTACTGCTACTGCCATTATATATTTTATTTTAATTATTTTACATTATTTATAGTGTTGAGGTTACTGGACTCTGCAGCACAAAACTATTCTTTAAGTTTTTTGAAAACTGGTTAACCAACCTACTCCTACCTGGTACTTCAGCTTACAAACTCAGACTTTAATCAGGACTATGGTAGTCTTGATCAACTGGAACAATACGTATTATGATGAAGAACGCTGCAAGCTAAATAATTATGTTTCTGTCAAGAATATTTCCCCAGACATATTTCCATAATAAGGAACGGGGCAATATTTACTCATTTATATTTGCTCATAGACTTAATATAGCTACAAATTATAATTGATATATTAGATTGGACTGCATTTTATAAATCACATGTATTACTAAGCATTTCCGTCTCCATAGCTGAGCGTTCTCTAATGATAGATGAACTTGGAACAAGTTTAAGAATTGCTTCGATGACACGGCCTGCTGCTCTTGGCGTAGGTGCCTGGTCTGACAGGCTCATTACAGTCCACAGATCAGCATACTATAGTTTTAAAAAACTATTTTGGCTAATAGCACGAGGTTTGGCAGGGTTATTAATTGTCTAATTGGCTCGTTCTATAAACAATATAAGTCCGTTGCTACAGTTTGTGGCTGGTGCTATCAAATAATTGTTATTATTTTTCACGTCATAAACATTAACAGTCTTACTTTTCTGGTTTCCTTCACAATATTCATGCCGACTTAGCATCAATATCGACGTAGACTAAAGCAGCATCAGCTTAATCACAGCCTGGTAAACATCTTTCGCTTGTTGCGAAGCCGGTCCAATCCCCCAAACACTTAAAAGTGCCATTTCGGAATTAGCGCTTATGCTAAAATAGCAAACTATGCAAATTAGTGAATGGCTGCTGTCGCAAAGAATAGAAAATACAACAGCAATGAATAGCAGGGACAACAACAGCAACCACAATGACAAATCAAACAATCAGCTTAAAATACAACAACCACTAAGCCGATTTTTAATAGACATGTGCACATATTAACAAGTCCACGCGATACCAAATGAAGGCGCATCCCATTAACAGCAGCTGGAAGAGCAGGGAACAGCTCGAAAAAGTGCACAGTGGGGTAAATTAATGCGAAACTTCATATTATTCTTAAAATTCGTCAATAAGTTATTAAAAAAACAAACCAATTCAGTATTCCATGGGAATCAAATGTATAGTTTAATTGAGTCTAGCTGCTTTTCACAAAAACAAAACTTTTCCATCATAGCGAACGAATATTTTTGGACGTGCAATGAATCTTCTTTAGGCAGTGGACCGCACAATCGTACTTTTAAATTGGATTGACCTTTATCATACTATAGTGGAAACTGAATTGCCAAAACTGTGAGCTGGCTTCCATGATTAGTGGAAATATCGAACAAAATATTATTCACTAATTCAGTTATTAATTTACAGTAAACGTTCAAAAGTTGATAAAAATATCAAAAGCAGCTTTTTTTAATTCCAGACAATTTGTTTCTAAAAACTGTATGACTTAGGCTAAGAAACAAATAAATGGCCCATTATATTCTTTGAATCTGTTATCAAATCAGTAAAACACAAATTTAATTTGATTTGTATATAAGTAGTACTATCAATAATATTAATTATCTAAATCTGTTAATCACATAAAAATATTTCAATTTTTTTTTCATACAAAAAAGAAACCTCATATAAGTATACTTAGAGACGATACTGATAATAAGGACGACTTATTATTGTTTCCCTTTTACTTTTACTTAATTATTTTTAAAACTTAAATTTGAATTTTGATAAACAACCAACCCAAAAATGATATACAAAAAATAAACGAACAAATTTTATAGATTTAGTGATAAATCTCTGATCTGTAGATAAACATTTTATTTATAGATAACAAAAATAGTTTAATTGATAAAACAAATAAGGCTACAGTCTTTCATTAAATTTATTGTGCCAATCATTCCTGGGCCAACTACATATGGTATATAATAAAGTGAAAGGGTAAATATAGTATATCTCACTCCTAGACCCACAAACAATTTACCTTAATAAGAGTGACTTACGCACAGCCCGGTCGATGTGACAGCTATGAATAATACAAGCCTACAGACAAAGTTTGGCGTCTCCAACAGTTATGGCTCAACAGGAGAACATGTCTATATCGCGACTCGTTTCATCATGTCGATAATTATGTATAGTACATATAAATTGAAGTTTGTGACGCCCCGTTTTGGCTGTTAAAAACATTTGATGAATAAACTTACTAGTATACCCTTTAAACCAGTTCCTTGGATAGTCATGGTTAGCTGGGATATATAATTTTTGCCTGAAGAGAAAACAGTTTATTCCATTGTGCTGTGGTAGCGGTGCCGTTGCCATTCATTGGCGGTGATAGTTGGCTGCTGTGTGCTTCAGTTGCGAGCCATAGTAACAACGACCACTTAAAAAGCGTCTGGCTTGGTTTTTTCTGCATAATCCGAGAGGAGGCCGCGTCGCTCTGTCTAATAAAACCTCTTGCTTTTGCTTAACTTATGCAAATTCTATTCTAATTAATATTATTTCCATTTGTGCTGTGTTTCGACTTATGAAGCAACTCCTTTCCCTTGCCTGCCGCCTTTCCATTGCTTTTTGCCAGCACACACACAAACACACGAGCACACACAATCGAACACACAACCACAAGCACACACACAAACCCCCGCCAATTTATTTATTTAGTTTTTAAGTACGATTTTGAATTTTATGATAAATTAAATTTTTTGTTTTGTTTTTGTTTTTTCTGCTCTTTTTCATATAATTTAAATGTGTGATAAATCATTCTTGAAACCAGTTCTCTTGCTCGCTCGCAAATTGTTGACTTAGCATAGCTGCAAAAGTAGCAGCGGCATCTAGAAAGTGCCGCCATGTGCCGCATCAAAGACTCTACCGTAAGAAAACACACGCGCACGCTTCCAACACCCGCTCATAATAAATTCATACGCGTGGCTCAATAACTTAACAAGTTCCTTTCGCTTGAAGACTTTGGCTATTTTTGGCTTATGGCTAGATGTTCTCCGGGCCTTCGATTTACGTAGAACAGAAACGCAGACGCACACACCATCTGAAGCGCGAACATTATGGGGCTTCAAGTTGGATTTCATATTAATCATCTGCCGTGGCACGGACATGCCCATGTCATGTGGCTTAATTGTTACTGTGTGTATTTATAAGTGTGTAATTCAACTCTTGCCAAATCTTTCTATGTTTAACAAATGACGCAAGGCACCCATTACATGGGTTCCCACACTGCCTTACAAGCCAAGTGCTTGCTGTAAGCAATTTTATTGGCAGCACCATCATTAAATGAAGGTCTGGAAATGAAGATGGAGTTGCGGCTGTGGCTGGAATTGGGATTATAGGTTGGTTGCTGCTGCCTTCAGATCATTGAACTCAAACTCCAGCGAGCCACACACATTTTGCACAGCTATAAAAAATCGCACACATTTTGGAAACCTTTTTCTGTAATCAGCCGCAAACCGAATCTCCAGATGTAGATTGGGTCTGATGCGATGAGCACTGGCCATTGGCAAATCAAGAGGTCACCTTGAGTGCAGAGTCTGGCAGTCGGAAAAAAAACGCTGTCTTAATTTTATGCAAAGCTTCGCTCGCGCGACTTAAATGTTACTCATTTCGGACTCGCGCTTAGAGTTGTGCTGAAAGTTTGCCATAAATTATATTAATTTAATTATTCTTACCTGTGTGGTTTCGTGTTGGTTTTTGGGGGCATTATGCTTATTTAGGTTCAAGTGAGTTGAATGCTTTCATTTAAATGCACGCGTTAAGTGATTAATGAGACCTTAGCCAAAGAGCTTTCTACTTACTGACACGCTTCTCTCGTTCTCACAAATGGTGGTTGCAATCGCTTCGGCCATATTTGGGTCAAGTCGGTGCAGTCGGACAATAAATACCTAAATATTAGCCACACAGAAGCATGATTTAAATTTCAAAGTTATCATAAAATTTAATAATTGTCTAACCTAGGACAGATCTTAAATAAACGATAAGATTAGGAAGAAAAAACATTATTTCGATGTTTTGTAGAATATGCAAGAAAGCTTTGAAGAAAAATAGAAGAAATGAAACTGTAATTTTTTAAATAATTAAGTAAAAGTAAGTAAAATGTTAACAAAAAAATCAGACTTCGGAACTAGTGCAGTGAATGCTTTTGTTTTTGTCATTTAAAGTAACAGCATTCTGTTCGAGAATAATATTTTCAGCTATTTGGACTATTTGAACTATTCGGGAAGCAACAGCTTTCAAATGGTCATCAAAATCGCTTCACCTAGTCGATGCTGAGGTAACAAACATTAAAAAAATATACAGACGAATTGATAACATCCTCTTTTTTTGAAGTCGGTTAAAAATAGAATGCTTGCACAATTCATAGTAGAAATAGACTTTTATTTTATAAATGCGGCTATGAGAAAAATTTGGCAAATATTGTTAATTAATTTTAACAAATATTTTGTGTGTATTTAGTATTGTTTATGTTAATCGTTTTTCGAAACAGGACTTAATTCGAGCCAACTTGGCTATATAGGAAAGCCAAGGAATTAATCAAGGATTCATAAAGAAAAAAGTCTAGTAAAATGACGTCACGGGTGTTAACCTATCGGTTGCTTATATACATCACCGATTCATTCATTCATTCATGTGTAAAAAGAAGGTTTTTAGATTCATTTTATTTAAAATAAAACTAGGGAAAATTGATTTAAAAAAGTGCAATCAAAATGCTAGACACAATAGTTATAACAGCTTATTGCAATAGAACTTAATTTATATATCGTTTGAATATTGTTTGTTTTGTTTGATTATTCTTGCACATTCGTGTTGTATTGTTTGTTTTGGTTCCGACTGCCGACTGCAGGGCGGCAACCATCGCTATGACCTACAGCAGCGGAAGAGACTAAGAGACAAACAAAAGGCTGACAAACTTTTTATTGGTGATGATTTAAAAATCAACAGAAAAATATTGACATTGATGGCAAATAATAATAAAGTATGAATACATTGCGCCCTGTGTGTGGGCCCCGCTTCAGTTCGCGAATATTATGTTTACTCAGATATTCATAGGCAAATTTTAACTTACATATGAACACCATTTGCACTTACATACGCTACATTCGTGCATTTATATAAATAGGCAGCTGGCCAGGTCAAATGATATAGATATTGAGGATGTTGATTTATAAAAATGTTTTTAAGTTTTATATTTTTTGTCTAGTTTCTAAACAAATTGTTTTTGTGTGGAGACTATGAAACAATAGATTTTGGTTTATTGGATTTGCATGAGAATCGTATCTAAATTATCGCATAAATTTATGCCGACAATTCATTTTGTGTGTGTGCGCTTGTCTCTACAGATATGTATGTATGTATGTGTATGTGTGGGCATATGTGTATTTGTGTCTCTTGAATTATGTTTATCTTCCTTTCTACTTTGGCAAAAACTTGCATGACCTGTGTGTCTATTTCTATTATGCTGCAAATGTGTTCGGCTGAACTAGTTTTATTTGTTGGCCAAGCGGCAGAGCTACTTAACGCATTTAGTAAATGATGAACATGCGCGCAAGCACTGATGGGCGGCAGAAACGCACATACATAAGTATTTAACCATTTGCCTAGTGCTTTACATTGTTAATTAATTATTTAATGCGCTTGTTTTCGTTTTTGAGGCCCATTAAGAGTAGCTGAACCAGCTGAGCTCCCAGACTATTTAAGAAAAGACTTCAGCAATTTGCATACAAAAGATAAGAATTATAATGTAAAAACAAAAACTGAATATTAAAGGGCACGTGGCGTATTCTTAATATCCCACATAAGGAAGATCGCCATGTGCTATAATAAGAGCAAATTTTTAAAAGAAACTGCTATTTTCAACACGTAATGACTTCATATACAGTTTCCGAGATAACAAAGTCCTGAATTATAGATATAAGCTACAGATAGCACCCTATAACATAAATCATCTTGAGTTTTTATACTCTGTACATGAAATGTTGTGTACGCTATACGAATTTGTTTTATTTTTTTGATTTTCCCACCACTTCCCCGATTTTCCATTCGCATAATCGCCTATATCTCGGAGACTATAAGACCTAGAAACACCAACCAAGTCCAAGGATGCCTTACGTGAATACGCAGAAAATGTATATTTTGGAATTTCCCTCCCTCTCCACCGTAATTAATGACCTTTCATAACTCCCGTAATTCTTGGAATTTCGAACTAAAATTTTGCAAATACCTCCAGTTAGTTATTATGTGTCCGTATGCCAGTAGTTTCACTATGATAGACCGATTTAACAAGAAGTTATAGCCATAAATATATTTGCTGCTGCAGCGCTGCTCAAGCGCTGCCCGCGGCTGTTGTTGATGTTGCTGTTTGGTTGCCTGCGAACATGCTTACACAGACACGAATAGACGCGCATAAACATACATACACTGACACAGACGCAATGGCTTTGTATATGTGCAAATATACACCCTTTACGTGAGTTCGAATACCAAAAGAGGTAAAATCGATCAACATTTTTTTTGTTTAATTCTCTTACTTTTTGTAATTTCTATATTTATTCTAAACATATGTACAGAGTATTTCAAAGTCGGGACACCCGACTTTAGCTTTTTTACTTGTTGATTATTAAGTTTATATACTACCAACTCTGCTTTGTACAATTCGTGTCTGGTTATGTGTAGCGACTATAATCATTCTAGTCATCTCTTTGGCCATGAGAGCTCTGTCAATTTGATAAAATCAAGCATACTTAATTTCCTAAATTCAGTGTAATATTTGGTTTTGACTTTTTTATGGAATGATTATAATATGTTGTTATGTGTATCGACAGATATTTGTATGAAGTAAATAAATAAATAAATAAAAGTTAACTGTTACGATTGAGCAACAAGTGCCAGAACTCCAATAACTAGAAAAATTCACATGTCTTCGGGTATTGACATATTAGTCGCAACAGCGGTCAGTATATCATTTATTCCACTATTATATTACTGGAATAAGTTCATTTTTCAAAATAACTCACAAGTTTATAAATGTCGACAAAGAAGCAAGTGATTTTATATTTTTGAAATTTTTTTCCTCGTTGCAGTGTATTTTTAAAAAAGCTTTTTAGCTTAAAATCAAGCTGTTTACGTTTCATTGGCGTATGCCAAGGCTTATGCATCTCCCAAATTGTAGGAGCTTTTAAACGGAAGTGGAGCTGGAAGCCATTGCTTAAGCTCAAAAGTATGCAACACTTTTATTATTTTGAAAAGTATGCTGCATTCAATGTGTATTTTTTTTTTTTTTTTTTTTTTTTTTTTTTTTTAGATATATACAATTTATTAAACTAGTTTTCTACTACCAATATGGCAGCTTAAGCTAGTTGAAAGTTAGGGAATACAAAAGTTGTCTATAGTAAGCATCTATAGGACGCACTTATATCTATGTACATATATACAATATTTACAATGTTTTACATGAAAAATGATTATATTTTATGATATATACTATGTATTTTATACAAGGGCTCTTGTGGGGAGATCCTTTGGATGGCACTTCTTCAGTCTTCTCTTCTTAGGTTTGGACAGGAGCCGCCTCGCTAGTGCGTTGGGGTGACTGCCGAGTCGCTTCTCGTAATTGCTTGCGTGCATTTGAATGACATCGCCAACCTTGGGGACACATAAGTCTCTTTCGATGTCCCTAGTGCGCATATACCAGGGAGCGTTGCATATTTTTCTAAGTATTTTAGCTTGCGCAACTCTTATTTTGTTTAGGTTTGAAGCAGCGGCAATGCCATAAATTGGTAGCGCATACTTCCATATTGGACTTAATATGGACTTATATACTGTCACCTTACTGTGCAGGGACAGCTTGTTGCATGGTGCAAGCAGCCATGCCATCTTTCCGGCTTTCGCCATGACCGATCGCTTGACCATTGTTGTATGCTTGCTGAAGTTGAGTCTTCTGTCCAGAATTACACCAAGATATTTGTGCGAATTTGTATGACTGAGCGTGGACCCCAACATTGTGATATCTCCGCATGACGACGGCCTTGTTGTAAATGTGACATTCGCACACTTGCTGGCGTTGATACCAATGTTCCAATTCAGAGCCCACTTCTCGAAACTACTTACATACTGCTGTAAGGCTTCCGAAGCTACATCGATATCTCTGCTTCTGGTAAGCACCGCAGTGTCGTCTGCGTAAGTAGCTATTAGTGCGTCATCCTCGTCTACTCCAATGATCTCTTGCGGTGCAGGCATATCAGCAGTAAATAATGTATACAGGGTAGGACCGAGAACACTGCCTTGGGGCACCCCTGCACAAATTGAGCGCCTCGTGGATTTCACTCCATCAACAGCAACTCTGAAGCTTCTGTCCCTTAGAAAGCTTTCGATGAGTTGAAACAATTGAGGAGTTAGCATGCTTTTCAATTTGCAGAGGAGACCATCATGCCACACTCTATCAAAAGCTTGTTTAATATCCATAAACACAGCCACTGAGTACATCTTTTGCTCCATGGCTTCCAGGGCGAAGTTGACCACACGGTGGAGCTGTTCCGGTGTTCCGTGACTTCTTCGAAATCCAAATTGCCATTTTGGAATTCTGCGCGTCACGGCTTCGAGCTGGAGAATCCGGTCCAGAATCACGCGTTCCATCATCTTCCCGAGGGCAGGTAGCAGACTAATCGGCCTATATCCATCTACTTCAGTATGCTGTTTCTCTGGCTTTGGAATCATCGTAATTAGCGCCATTTTCCAGCAGTTTGGAAAGTGCCTCAGCCTGAGTATGTTATTCATGAGCAAGACAATATACAGCAGAGCCCTTGTGGGGAGCAGTTTCAGCGTCCTGTTGTCTAAAAGGTCTTCTCCAGGCGCTTTTTTTACCTTTAGATTTTTTATCTGCTGTACCACTTCTTGAAGTGTAACTGGGCTTGCAGGCAAGGCCATTTGGAATGGCATCTCCAGCCTAAGCTCGACTACCCTTCGCCTATCTGCTGTTGTAAAGTCAAAAGGCTTAAATCTTTCCTCTAGGCTGTTTGCAAAGATTTCAGCTTTCTGCTGACTGGAGTAGCTCCATCCACCTGTAGGATCCTTAATTGGAGTCTTAGGGATGACCAGCCTCTTGAATCGCCTCGTAAGCTTCCAGAGCGAGTAATTAAATGATGCATCTGGACCAGCACTTTCCAATATGTCATCAATTCTGCCTTGTCTGATTTTAGCAAGCTCTTTTTGCAGTCGATTGGACAGTCTTTTGTAGATTTGATGAATGCGAGTATCTCCAGTTCTTGCATATTCTTTCCTGACTCTTCTTTTCAGGCTTAAGAGCGCAGCAGCCGTTGGTGGTAGACTAGCTTGACTATGTTGGGTTGGCAAGCGTAAAGTTTTCGGTGCAGCAGAAGACGCAGCCAGTGAAATGTTCTTCATGAGGATTGATATCGCGTCTTCGATATCCTCTGGGCTGTTAATTTCGACGTTCAGGTTAATTCTTCTTTCGAGATCGGCTTTAAAAACATCAATACGGGAGCCAGGTGGTAGAATATATTCCCTCTTGGGATTATATTGCGGTGCATGATGTAGCGTCGCTACTACTGGAAGGTGATCCGATGCGAGCTCATATTTTGTTTCAACGGTGAGTCTGTTTAGGGCAATCCTGTTGACAATAAAGAAGTCTAGTGCAGAGGGGTTAAGTCGTGTGTTGTAAGAGTAGAAAGTTGGCTCTCCAGTAGCAAGAACTTGGCAAGTAGTACTAGCTATGGCCTCTTGCAAACACCTTCCTCGCCTGCAAGATCTGGAATTACCCCACCATTGGTGTTTTGCATTAAAATCACCGCCTACAATAAACTTATCTCCTAAGGTTGCAAGCAATAGATCAAAGTCGGCCCTGCACCAAGCTTCATTGGGAGGAAGATATAGGGAGGAGACTTTGATGCTTCCACCATTCGTCGGTATAGTTACGCTGGCCGCTTGGATGCTTGTTTTTAGAATTGGCTCATTCTGTGAATGAGCGATACTTGATCTAATGATGACTGCAGAACCACTTTTAGCGGTGCCACTAGGATGATTAGCGTAGTACTGGTCGTATCCTGGCAAATATGCGTTCAAGCCAGGACGCATATGCGTTTCGGTTATTAACATGATATCGATCGAGTTTGAACTTAGGAAAAGCCTGAGTTCATCATTGTTTTTGACCAGGCCCCGTGCGTTCCATAATCCGATTTTTAACAGCGGATTTAACATTTGGATATTAGTTTTTGTACCAAGTCACGGAAGGCTCTATTGGAATCCATATTTTCCTGTATGAGCTTATACATTTGATCCATTCTTGCGTTTAGATCTAAAATCGCCTTTTCCAGCATACTAAATTTGTTGTTTAGATGCCAATCTTCGGCGGAACTGTGTGATCGGGGCGAGTTTTGGTTTGTTGGCGCGCTGGTACGTTTTTCTCCAATTGGCCTAGCTGCATCAGCATAAGAGAAGCCACTCTTAACAGTAGAGTTTGAGATAAACTGTACTTTAGTGCCTTGGTTATTTGGGTAACTCCTATTGCTACCGATAACTAGTCCATCTTTCGGCAACCTCACAGCTGGCTTAAGTTTTTTGGCTAGATCAATTCTTACCTTGCAGCCTCTGAAGCTCGACATGTGGTCTTCGCCGCAATTAGCGCATATAAATTCCCCATTATCATTCAGGTTACATGATTTTGAGCCAGTATCATGGTCCCCCGAGCATTTACCGCAAACCGGCTTTTTAAGGCAATAGTTCCTCGTGTGCCCGAAATCTTGGCATCTGAAGCATTGTACCAGCTCTTTACTCTGTTTGGCCTTTGATATTGTAACCCTGTGTCTACCAATTTGAGTTATTTTTAGTGCCTCAGCAACGTTGGGTGCGTTCTGGAGGTTAACGTAAAACATATTTTGTCTTGTTTTAACATTATTTATGTCCTCACCATCCTCCTCATTAATTTGAATGTTACGCCAGTCCGGTTTTCTGGGGCAATATATATTCAAAACTGTAAAGCCCTTGTCGGTAAAGGTGCGCTCTATTAATTGCCTGGGTACATTGGGATGAATATCTCTGAGCACCAATCTGCAGGGTTTGTTCTCCTTCAACTGGTGGTGCCAGAATTGACAATTTTGATTGGACAATAATTTGATTATTGCACGAAACGCATTCGAATTCTTCGTATAAATACGCGAGATCCCAGATTTCGATGTGCGTATGTCGTAATCGTTAGGGGAGACAGCAGAATTGAGCGCCACCTCCAGCTTATCCAATTTGTTGACTTGTGGCACACATATAGCAGGAGGCTTAGGAATACTACTTCCCTGCTGGAAACGGCTGGCTTCATTTTGCTGGCTCGATGGATCTTCGGAATCTGGCTCTTCCATTTCCATAATGGAATCAGCTTCTTCCGAAAGGGCTGCAAATCTATTATTTTGAAGCGCTGGCGGAGAGGAGGACGCAGTTCGTTGTCCCTGGGTTGTATTGACAGGAGTTGGCTTATTTTTTTGAGCCGATTTTAGTGACTCGACGGCTCCTTTCCGCTTCCTATTAATACCGGGTACTGGCATTTGAAACGAGCAAAATTTGTCCAGAGTTGGATTTGCAACTAAGTTTGTCATTGAAGCCGGTGTACTCACAACGGCGGGTGTGGAGCACAAACTGCCATTTGATGTCGCTACTGTAGTATACATTGATTGAGAGTTCACCACAGAAAATGTTAGGGTACTTGTAGTCGATGTACAAGTGGTTGAGGCAATCCAGTTACTGGTTGAGATTGACGGCTTTAAGTATGGTTTTCCCATTGACATATGCAAGTCCTTGGTTATTTTTGCTCTCAGCTCCGAAGGTGATTTACCAGAAATTTTTCTCATCTCCACGTACTTCGGCAGCTTATTGACTACTTCCTCAGCTGCTCCGAGAGCGGCCGAGTCTTCATCAGCATTCATTTACGTGAGATAAGATGACTTGCAAAACAAGCAAAGAAGAAAAATTCTGGGCTGTCTCTGCTCCGATGACGTGTATACGTCAGCAGAGCAGCCCCATACAGCAGATTAATTGTTGATTGGAATCCAAGAAAATAAGGATACTAAACGATTGCCAAAAAGCCAAGGTGAAACTAGGTTTCCGGGTGGTTTTTTTTTTTTTTTTTTTAACGCACTATACGCGAAATAATTGAAAAAGAGGAATTTATTACAATTTTTCACGGAGCGCACAATAAAAAGTCGACTAGTCACTTTGACAGCTACCAGGGTTGTATTTTTTTTAAAAAGTTCATACTGCAATCCTATAGATATATTCTAATTATTTATATTCTTTAATGTAAAACCGGATTAGGCATCCATATTAGGTAGCAGTACACCTATTAATATAATACAGTAGAAATTTGAAATATAAAAAAAGTTCATGCTATATATATTTTTTCCTCATGTATTTTCTTTTTTTAAATGGTTTGGTTAATTTTGAAAATCCAGAGTAAATTCTGATTTACTTTACTGATCCGGATATCTCTAGACTTTTTATTTTCAGCTCGAATCACATAAGCCCATTTACTTTAACATGGTCGCTGATATCGACAAATAATGAAAAATTAAAGTTCAAATAAAAGTCAGATATTTATTGCATTTCGTTGGTGGGTGCATGGTCACTATTTTCAGTTTAAGCGCGGTGTCTGTATACGCGACGACGCACTGTTCTGTACTTGTAGCCCTGCTGGCTAGCAGCAGGCTGAGGGTAATCGTATCCGGAGCGAGCCGGAGCTGGAGCGGAAGCAGCGGCCTCGAAGGCAGGTGCGGGCTCGGGTTGGAAGAATGGGGCTGGAGCAGGTGCAGGAGCGGGAGCGGGAGCAAATGATTGTGCAGGTGCAGAGGCAGCGGGCTGGTGACGGGCAGGTGGCACATAGGACCTGGACGGGGCAGGAGCAGATTCAGCGGCATGGAAGACTGGGGCAGGGGCAGGTGCAGGAGCGGGAGCAAATGATTGTGCAGGTGCAGAGGCAGCGGGCTGATGACGGGCAGGTGGCACATAGGACCTAGATGGGGCAGGAGCAGATTCAGCAGCATGGAAGACTGGCGCTGGGGCTGGGGCAGGTGCAGGGGCTGCCACTGGAGCAGGTGCGGGAGCAAATGACTGCACAGGTACAGAGGCAGCGGGCTGATGACGGGCAGGTGGCACATAGGACCTAGATGGGGCAGGAGCAGATTCGGCGGCATTGAAGAAAGGTGCAGGCTCTGGCGCTGGAGCTGGTGCTGCTACTGGTGCTGGAGCGGGGGCAAAGGACTGCACAGGGGCAGATGCCGCAGCACGATGTGGTGCAGGTGGCACGTAAGTCCTCACTGGCGCTGGCGCTGAAGCAGCGGGCGCTGGATAATTGTAGCCCGCATCGGCGCTTACGAAGGCGACTAATGCCAAAGCAACTATGAAGAATTTCTGAAAAAATAAATGCTCAAGCTTAATCCAAACTCAGGCAGTTATCGAAGTAGACCGCCTTACCATTTTTTAGCTTTTTGTGTGTGTGTTGATAACGCAAAGTCTCGACTGAGAACTCCGATTGTTGTATCCATCCATGCACTTTTATACGACTCGCCAATTTCAAGTCAATGGACGAAATAAACGGAAGTGTCTAATGCCATAAATCACAATATTTTAGGTATATTGTTGAATCGCGAATATTTGTTTAATTAGGCACATACGTCGATAGCTGCCAAACTTTACCAAAATCCGAATGGCTTCAGCGCAGGCGCAACATGGGGTGAACTTACCGATAATTAAGCACCTATAATTTTGTTTTTAAAAACGCGTATTAGTTATTGTCGAACGTTAAAGGAATTCACAAATTCTGCAGCAATCCATCCATGAATATGCATGAGCCTGCAAGTTTTCAAATTATAAAAATCCAATCTATCTATGCATGTATGTATGTATATTTATATATTTGTGTTAACGAACACTAGCTCTTAGTTACGCAAAGTTCTAGTGACAGACAATATTTGTAGCCTTTGCATGCAAATCAGCTTCATGCTGCAAATGTTTATATATTTAGCCAATTATGGTTTTAATGTTCAAATGCTAAACAGTAGCCAAATTTTTATATTGTTGTGGCTAAATTAAAGCGAAGCACAAAGCCCACAAAGAAATCAAATAAATTTTTTGTTAAATACGATTTCTAACATAACGAACAAATATGTAAAAACTATTGTCGGACCGCATGCACTTCATTGATTTTATTGATTGATTTACAATATACATATATGGAGAGGCAGAAAGGTTGACACCTTTAGCATAGGTCAATCAATAAATCATATGTATGTATACACGTATACAAAGACTAATCAGGTTCTTCTAAAGGTTATTGTCTTCTTTAATAATTTAGTTGGCTCGAAACAACCATTTTAAATCAGCCAAGAATAAGGCGAAGACGAATTTATTATACATAGTCGTTAATTAAAAGCAAGCACCGTTTTAAGAACAATATCAAGATAGAGCGCATTCGACTTTGAAAGCCCCTGTACTAATTTAATAAATATGACAGCTATATGATAATGTTTTTCGTTTGTCCTTTTCTGTTCGAAGCTTAAACACAAAATTTTACTTTTCCTGTTTTATATATTTTACCGTCATAAATTTGAAATTTTTTTTTTAACTGCACAACATGAGACAGCTCTCAAATATGTCAACTGCAGCATTGGCCGGTTCTTATATACGACACAATTAGGGCAGAGTTTTCTGCATTAGAAACTAACTGCGGCTAAGAAGATTTGACTGAAGATCCTGGAAAATATACTCTGAGTCAAGTTATATAAAGATATAAAAAGGAACAAAAATAAAACTGTACCTCGACTCAAACAAACCGATTTGATTGTTGGCCGAAAAATTCAACAACTGTGCCACCAAAAGATGTCTGCAGTATTTTAAATGTATATTATTTTGTTCAGTCTCGTTTATTGAAATGACAAAAACGCCTTCATCTTTACTTTTTAGTGGATTGGTTTATTTATATTCTGTTTTTATGATTGTTTTATTTACTATCAACCTATTTATCTAAGCTGTTAAACATAGGCGTTTCTCAGAGGAATACAACTACCGATAAAACCTCCTGTGATACATACATTACACCAAAACTAAAGTATCCAACCGTACGGTATAATCATTCTGGTATAATAAATGTTTATTCGTCGCATGCTTTACTGTGCATGATTGAACAAAAACCAAAACGAATAACAAAAGCTCACACATTTCAATTAAAAATAACAAAGTATATGTGTTAGATAATAAAAAAAGAAGTGCAGTTACCCTAAACAATTGCAGCTTATAGCTTTATAGATTGATACAAAATTATGTTTTTGGTCAACTTGTACTTATTGATTTGACAGAATACCTTATTTGATATTTCTAATCCTCACAATCTAATTATTCACTTTTGTTTGCATACCGACAATTTTTCAAAATCAAAAATAATAATATAATTAGATTTTTATTTTTTATTCCGGATTTTACAACCATTGCCTTTGATACTTAATTGTGTCATACCCTTTTTGTTTAATTTGAGAATTTATGTTAATTTAAGCTGCTAGAAAAAATCAAACCTCATTTTCTTTCCACAGAATGACTTCATATCTCAAAGTCGTTTGTCTACTTATAAGTATAATGTAAAGAAAATTTTGTTTATTTTAATATTAATAAATATTATTAACATAAAAGAGATTTAAACATTTATAGAGTAGATAAACTTCGATCCGTTGTTATGTTCTTAACAAATTCTTACGTATTTTATTTTGGATTTTTATTATTATTTTATGCAAAAATACAAATGCTAATTAGTTGCTGGTTTTCAAAGTCTGCTAGCATCAGACAACAATCCAGAAAACAAAATTCTGCATTTCTTTCTTGGTTGAGAATTAACATAATAATACCATAAGTAGTTGGCGTTGCGGCTAGAAAGGAATAAGTGGGATAAAACCACAAACCAGTTCATGGTTGATGGAATTTTTTAAAATTCGATGTATGTTTTAATGACGAACTCCTCATAATCCAAAATACGTGAAGATGGTCCCGATGCTGTCTCTTCGCCATGCAGATCACTTTGCGTTGGTGTGTAGGTTTTTGGCGGCAAATAGGCGCGATGTGGTATGACAGGTGATATGTATGTTCGCCGTACCTTTTGGAAGTTTTTTCTTCTTTGTTTGGGCATATGCAGGGCGCTTGGTAACAAATTTCTAGATTGTATGGGTAAGAAGCAAGCTTGAAGAGTTCACTGAAAAATATATCACAGTACATTTGAATATTTCCATATTAAAATAATAGTTTTACATAAAAAATATTGCATTAAAACTGAATACCCAAATATTTAATAACTTTAAAATAAAAAATAATATTCAAAACAAAATATGATTCATGCTTAGTTTTAAAATGCGCTTAAATTAATGCTAAATTATTAAACAATAGTGATAAATTTAAAGAAGTTTTTCTTACACTTAATTTGAATAATTTGTATATATTTTAACAATCAAAAATGCTAAAATTGCAGACGGCACTTAACTTAACTTATTATAATTTAAGAATTCATTGTATAGATGATGAGACTGCTGTACGTGCGGGCTGGTAGAAGAAGCATATTTTAGGTATCAGATACTCTGGTTGCACAGATTGTGCTTTTAGGCACTGGCATTATTGTCGATTCATAACCACAGCAACAGCAGAAACCACACAAATCCACTTAACACGAAGCAAAAGTGCACAGGATAATGGATATAGTTTTATATTCACCATGTCGCTATCCCTTAAGTATGACAATAAAATAGTCTTGCGGACCATTGAATTATGAGTTTGATCCTCCAGCCATAACTGCAATTAGCATGTCGACAAAATTGATTCATAAATAACTGTTCAGCTTATTCTTTGGCTAATTAACTAAACTTGATTTTGAGCGAGAATTTTAAGATCTCAAAGAGACTCACAAATGTTGACAGCAACAAATCAATTAAAAACCCAATTGGCTGCCTGCCCACAAATGTTATCTACAGACCTAACTCTGCTACGGGTACTGTTTCTAGCCGAGACACCAACCACAAATGTTAACAATCTGCCTGAGCGGCATTCAAGCCATGTTAAATTCCAAAAATGTACATTAACTTTTTTAAACAGATCACGTCGCGTATACATAAGTTGCTGTATTCTAATTAGCTCGAACACTTTTTTGAATTCTTTTTAAGATTTATACAAAATAAAAAGTGATTTTAGTCTAATAGATGATGGAAATTCATCCGATTCCGATGTTCAATTCGTTTCGCTAATTACGAACATCAATATTATGCGATACTACTTATATTGATTAATATTGTTTGACAAATATAATAACAGCAAAACAATTCACAATCAAATTTAGCTACTCGCATATTAAGTTATATTTTATACTTAAATTAATGAAGCCAACCCATATATTGTATGTTAATATTAAGCGCACATATTTACGATTTTATTCGTAACGTTTTTAGATAGACATTTCAGTTTCCATTAAGGTCTTTGAGGACCAACAAAATAAACTTGTTCTTAATTATATTTAGAAAAAAATTTATGAACGCACGAAATTCTAAAATTCACAAAACTAATAGAACCGGTTGCAGTAAATGATGGCTTTTGATTTTCATTTTGGTTCTGGTTTTGGTTTTGGTGTTATTAGATCCACACCTAAGAACCGCCCTGTAGTGCTTTACAAGTATAGATATCGTGACATTTGCATGTCTATGTGCTGCCAGGCTGGCTACCTCTCCCTTATTATGTTTCACATCACGTATACGCATCGTATACGCAAAGTATCCTGCACAAATCACTGACTGACGAGCCAAACAACAGCGGTTACTGTGTTTCTCCCAAAATTATATAAAACACGCACACCAACACAAACACATTAACTGCCAAGCGTTTCAAACTTGTTTACCGTTTTATGACATTTGCGCAATCGAATCAACAAAAAATGGCATGCTGTTGTCTAATTAAATAATTCATTTGTGTCGTGATCTGCGGTGAAGTAATCTGAGTTAGTTTATTCATACTATATACACATACGAGTATATAATTATATAGTATTGTGATTCTATATGCCATTTATATGCCGGAACTTTACAGAAATTTAAAACAGTTAGATGACTGTTGCCGAAGCGATTGTAGTAGAGCAACCGTTGGCCCCTCAATTCCAATGAAAGCAAAAGCTAGTGGGTTGGCCTTTCAGGGTCACTGAGCTTTGAATTTCCCATGACAAAAAAATTAAACGGTTACTTCTACATGACAAATGAGTAGGTCCAGCCTAAAACTGGTATCAAGCACAAACAAATACACAGCAAAAAATAGCATCAGTATTTGTCATCGGTTAATTTCGTATATTCTAAACGTAATGTGCCTTATTTAAAACTACAACTAATTTATTTTAAACGAAAACAAAATATTGGATTTATTCCAAGCTCAATGGGTGGATATTCAATATTTATTTTATATTTAAAATCTAAAATCTGGAAACCAGTGGTCGCGTGCTTAAACAATAAACTGGTTTCTTGGACTTAAAACAAGCAGACAGCCAAAAAAAAAAAAAAAAAAAAATGCTTAGGCCGAGAGAAGTCGTCATAACACAAACACATTTTATTAGACAAGCCTACAAAAAGATTAAATCTTAAAAAGTAAATGCTAAGGGTAATTTATACAAACTTTATAAATTTATGCAAAATTTCTTTCTTGACAAATATAGAAGATATAAAAACAAATTTTTTAATATTTTATTAAGCATTGCTTTAATCTAATATATTTTTTTTAACAGTGCAATTAAAAAAAAATATATATATACATATATACAAAACGAATTAGTCTTATTAGTCTGACATATACACACTACACTGTTACAGCTGAGACTTTATTACTACTATATTGAACATGGGCAATCTTAAGTCCCAATTGAGTCCGAGCTATAGAATTTCCTTTCCTTTTATTTCAAAAAAAAACACATTTTCTGCGTATTCACATAAGGCATCTTGAACTTTAAATTTGATATCCCTAGGTCTTATAGTCGCCGAGATATAGGCGATTATACGAACGGCATTACGGAAAACCCCCATAGGGGGAAGTGGGGGAAAAATCAAAAAAATAAAACAAACTCGTATAGAATACACACATAAGGCATCTTTGTGCAAAATTTGGTGTCGGACGGACAGACAGACAGACAGGGCTTGATCGAATCGTCTTATCATGCTGATCAAGAATATATATACTTTGTGGGGTCTGCCACGCCTCCTTCTGTCTGTTAAATTTTTCACTTCCCGCAAACCTAATATACTCTTGTACATTTCATGTACAGAATATAAAAGTACATCATAAAACCCATTTTATTTTCTTCCCTTCGTTTAGGTAATAGCTTTCTGGTAGCACTTTATTTAATGGTGATGTTGATTTCAGGCGTAATCCAGCTTCTAAAGCAAAAGGTAAATGAATTGGATTAGAATGTGACAAAATGCGGAAGTCATTTTTGTTGCCGTCAACAAAAAAGGAAAACCGAAACCTGCCAATAATTTCTTACGCATCTAATTTTAAAATGTTATGCAATAATGTCACATTATTTTAAATAATCATCATTTTTTTATTATTTACAGGATTACTATATTTTATATTACATATACACGTAAATATAAATCTCTTTGTCGATAAAAATACTGCTTGTATCAATTATGAAATACATGAAAAGAAATATGTTTCAGGAAAGCGAACGTAACATTTGAATAAAAATTGAAACCAGAATGGTGTCTTTGCATTTTTTTATTTTGTTTAATATATGTTGTAAGGGCTGTTTTGTGGAATGGCAGTCATGCATCAGTCATGTATCCTTTTTCTTAAACATATAAATATTAAAGAGAAAAAACTATAAATATACCCAAAAACGAAAAATGGCAACTTTAAAGTCTATTCGCTCATCGTATTAAATTAATTCAGATAAAAATCGATTAAATTAATCAAATTGGACGTAATTTAAAAATTCTGTCTAATTTATGCAAAACTATTTTTATTTCAGATAGCAATCAAAATAAAGGTTACAAAATCCCCGAAGAGATATATGAAATTAAAAAAAAAAAAACAATATAAAATATGCTTATTACCGATTACAACAAATCGTACCACATTCGGCAAAAGGGCGCGGTGAAAATATAGCAATACAATATAAAATTTGAATATTTTTCTTGGATAATATCATACATACAATAACATTTGTTTAATAAGCCTTTATTCTTGGGACTTCTCTGCCTATCTTACAAACTTACACACCAACAATTATATAACCCGGCACCCGGAAAAATAATATTAATAATAATTTAAAAATTCTGACTAATTTATGCAAAACTATTTTTATTTCAGATACAAATCATAATAAAGGTTTAAAAACCCCCGAAAAGATGCATAAAATTAAAAAAAAAGAATATAAATTATGGTTGTTATAGATTACAACAAATAGTACCATATTCGTAAAAAAAAGGGCGGTGAAAACATCACAATACAATATAAAATTTGAATATTTTTCTTGGAAATTATAATACATACAATAACATTTGTTTAATGAGCTTTAAGTTTTGGGACTTTTCTGAGATATGCTCATATGTGCCTATTAAAAACAATCTTTCAAACTTCCACAACAACTACTATATAACCCGGAACATTCAGGGAAGGGTGTAAGAAGAGCTTCTAAATGAAATGTTTTGACGTAATTTCAAAATTCTGACTAATTTATGCAAAACTATTTTTATTTCAGATACGAATAATAATAAAGGTTTAAAAACCCCCGAAAAGATGCATAAAATTAAAAAAAAAGAAGAGAATATAAATTATGGTTCTTATAGATTACAACAAATACAAACACATTCGTAAATGGGCAGGCGAAACATCGCAATGCATTTTCTAATCTAATCTATTATTTTCTAATCGTGTGATTTCAGCAGCTTACCTAATGCCGAGTGTGAACATTTCAGAAAAAACAAAACATTCATATATAGGGGAAGCTAAATTGAGACCCGCTGGCCCGCCTATTCACGATAGTTTTGAATTAATTGCATGCTAATTTAATCAGCAACGTGAAATTAAATTAACTATTCGGACACCCGATTCAACATATGAAAAATTTCATTAAGTCCGAAACACTTAGCGATGTTTTTTGATGTGCGGGCAGGTCATTACTAGAATAGATTTTATTAGCAGCTACGCACATAGTATATCTACATACGAGTACATGGCTTAATAGTTCTTTGTGTGCCAAAAAGTAAGACAACGAGTTTTGGCTGCAACTGTTGCAAGTATCAGCTGCCCAGCTGGATGGCCCTGTATTTTTGTATGCCGCAAAGGTCAGTTATGCCTGCGTCCTGTAATCAGTAAACCGGTTTTGGTCAACCGATCTGGATCTGGAAAACTTATGTGGTCTGCTGTTACTGTGTGAAGGTTTATTCGCAAGCAGACACATTGCGACCTTGGTGTGAGTAATTGCTGGTGTATATATATAAATATGAGCCAACCAGTATGTTGGCAGACTGTTGCCTGAGAAGACTTCGGGATGCGCCCTTTGATAAGCTATGGCGGAACTACCTGCATGATGGTGGAGTGGGGCCCATCCTAGTTTTGTCAACACACTCATAAATAAAACATGCTAGAATACAGCTAAAAACTAATTTATGTCGCCATCGTAGCTTGTGAGAAACAAAAACAAAAAAACAACAACTTTAAAATGCCATAAATTCAGGCTTATAGCTCATCATTTATAGAAAGATGGTCATTGTTTGTATTTGTTGAGTGCAAAATAGTCAAGCAAATGTCGTAGAACCAGGAGCAAATCAAACGTGAAGATATAGCTAAAGTTCTCTACTCGCACACCCCCTTTACAGATAATTTGGCCCACAACTAGGCAAACAAACGTTACGCCGTCGTGACTAACAAACAAAATCACACACACACACACACACACATATCAGAAAGCAAATCTCGTCTTATGCTGATTATGATTGCTAACAAGCGGGCAGCATTTTTTCACGGGCTATATTCTGTATATTTAAATTTATTGTCATGTTCCGTCTCTCGCTGACTGCGTTGTTTTTGGGTTTTATTTTGGCTTTAGTTATGATTTTTAATGAAAAGCATCTTTTAATACATAGTAAGCAGCCAAGTTAGCAGAGGCTCTTTCATGAAGTTTTATTTCTAAATTTGTCGTTCGCTCTTTCTGTCGCCGTATTTTATTGTGCTAAAATATATAACGCGCCAGCTCTGGCCACAAACGAGCAGAATTATAGCCAGCATATGGGTGTCGTTCTGCGCACACGCAGCCGGTTAGGCTGCTCAACCAGGTTGGGGTATGTTTTCGGGTTATGTTCGGGCTGCGTTGACGGCGCGCCCGATGACGTAGTTGCCGAGAAGATTCTGCCGCTGCATGACGATTTTGGCTATAATCGTATACAGAGCCATCCTGAAGCAGAGCCACCGACAGCAATGTATAAATAATTTCGCAGTCTAGAGCGACAGCACAGTAATTTTTTCACATTCGTGGTGTGGATTTGTAGCTGAACCGAGCAAAATGGTAAGAAAAGTGAAATTGTGAAAATACGCCATGTTAGAGAATACGCTATTTCGGCCTTAAAGTCGGGAAGTTCTTAAAAGTGTGTGGAAAATAATAATCGTTTCATAAGTGTTTAATGCGAGAGTTCATTTTCGACTTCTTCTACGACTTTTAGAAACTTTTCATCGCTTTCGCCCTTGTGGCGGCCGTCAGCGCTGATGTCTCCCACCTGTTCTCCAACAACAACAACCTCCAAGAGGATGGCTATCACTACAAGCAGCCTTCCGTGCCATTTGTAGCTGATATCCCTGTGGTGCGTGAGAGCGCACCTGCTCCTGTCTATACTGATGCTTTCCAATCCTTCAATGGCGGAAATTCGATCGAAGAGACTGAGCAGTACGAAACTGCCCCTGCTCCAGTTTATAGGGCTCCTGCTCCAGCCTATAATGCTCCTGCACCAGTCTACAAGGCTCCTGCTCCAGTCTATAAGGCTCCTGCCCCAGTATATAATGCTCCTGCTCCAGTCTCTAGGGCTCCTGCTCCGGTCTATAAGGCTCCTGCTCCTGTCTACAACGCTCCTGCTCCAGTCTACAACGCTCCTGCCCCCAAACAGTCCTACCAGGCTGGTGCCTTGAAGGAAGATGGCTATCACTATGAAGCTCCTCGCGTTGCTTTTGAGACCAATACCGTGTCTAAGACTGTAGTGGCACCAAAGCCAATCGAAAAGGAATACCTGCCTCCAGTTCAGCAACAAACGTCCAGACCCAGGCCTGTAGTGACACCCGCATACAAGGCTCCTGTTCCCACCCCAGCCTACAAAGCTCCTGCTCCAGTCTATAAGGCTCCTGCTCCTGTTTATAAGGCTCCTGCCCCAGTATATAATGCTCCTGCTCCAGTCCAAAAGGCTCCTGCTCCAGTCTATAAGGCTCCTGCTCCTGTTTATAAGGCTCCTGCCCCAGTATATAATGCTCCTGCTCCAGTCTACAAGGCTCCTGCTCCAGTCTACAAGGCTCCTGCTCCAGTCTATAAGGCTCCTGCTCCAGTCTACAAAGCTCCTGCTCCAGTCTACAACGCTCCTGCTCCCACCCAGTCCTACCAGGCTGGTGCCTTGAAGGAAGATGGCTATCACTATGAAGCTCCTCGCGTTGTTTTTGAGACCAATACCGTGGCTAAGACTGTAGTGGCACCAAAGCCAATCGAAAAGGAATACCTGCCTCCAGTCCGTAAGGAAACTCCTAGGCCTGTTGTGACACCTGCTCCCGCTGTCTACAGGCCCCAGCCTGTTGTGACACCTGCTCCCGCTGTCTACAAGCCCAGGCCTGTTGTGACAGCCGCTCCCGTTGTCCACAAGCCTCAGCCAATCGTAAAGGAATATCTGCCACCTGTCCAGAAGCAAACTCCCGTTGTATACAAGCCCAAGCCTGTAGTGACACCCGCTCCCGCTGTATACAGGCCCCAGCCTGTTGTGACAGCCGCTCCTGCTGTATACAGGCCCCAGCCTGTTGTAACTGCCGCTCCCGCTGTTTACAAGCCAGCTGCCACGAACATCGCGAATGAGTACCTGCCCCCAGTCCAGAAGCAAGCCCCTGCCCCCAAGCCTAGACCAGTGGCACCCAAGCCCGTCATTCCAAAGCCCGACTACTTGCCCCCAGTTCAAAAGGTAGCCACTCCAGCAGCGCACCAGGGATACAGCTATCCCAACGACCCTCATCCATCTTTCCAGTTTTAAAATAAATTTATTGTAATTAGAAAACTTCTTGTAGTATTAGAAACATCCATCTTTGTACGAACAACGAATCGGTAGGTCCAGCTTTTCAATGAAAGCCGAACCTGCGATGAATAAATGAACTCCAAAATTTGAAATACTATCAATTTTTTCCTGCGAACAAAGTGAGGCCGGAACAAAACAGCTTAAAAATCTGTAGAACAATTTTTATTTAACAAAAATCTAAAAGTCAGTAATGCAAACGTAAGGTAAATTGAAATTGGAAGAAAGCTAATATGACGACGATTTCAATTAAAGTATCCTAGTACTAGTAGTATATAAATATAATAATATATTTATTTTACTAAAAAAAAATATCGAACTGATAAAAATACGAGTATATAGAGTTAGAAAAGTATCTGACAAACTGCCACTCGTATGCACTGTATAGTACTTAATCGAAAAAAGACTATAACAAAAACATTCTGGTTCACTAAAAACACCCAGAAAAAGGCGTGGCTAATCGCTAATTTGTGATAATAGTCCTTTTATGCAACCAAAAACTGAAAATTGATATGGATTTTGAAGTTTAGATTTTCTACTAAAAACTGTAATGTTTTGAAGCATTAACTGAACAAGCTTTCAACACGAAATCGGCTCACCGAGACCTAAACCTGCTCACCGTGGAGGAGCAGATTGGAAGGCAGATACAGTGACAGGCTTCTGAGTCACCACAGTTTGCTTGCAAGAGGATTCCTTCCTGCTAGACCTTTGCGAAGACTGAAACGATTAGGTTTTTTCAAAACATTTAGATAAGCATAAGCCACCACTAACTTATTAATCCTCGCGCGGAAGTGCTCGAGGTTGGGCTATTTTATATTTGTAAAAATGTATTGTTAAGGTGCTAATCTGAATGCACGGCTTCAATGCTTTGATTAAACAGAAAAGAAAAAAAATCAACTGAATAAGCTTTCAACACGAAATCGGCTCACAGGATAAATAATTTGCCTCAAGAGACACTTAACATCAATGAAGCAAATTAAAATTATTGTTTTAAAATAACTAAATAAAAACTAGCGTACCCAGCTTGCGTGGATGGGCCACTAACAATTTTTGACTACTACTTGTGCAAACTAATATAAACTCCAGCAGAGAAGTCTTTGCTGAAAAATCATTTGCCGGTTATTAAGAAAATGAGATAAACTCGTGAGATAAGGAAAGTCTACATACCAAGTTTCGTCAATGTTGGCTGACATGATAAATTGATTTTTCTTGCCGTGCTGATTAAGAATATATATGTACACTTTACGGAGTTGAAGATACTTAATTCTTCTTGTTACATACGTGGCAAACCCCACAAAGCACATATACATATATACCCCTGATGTATGACAATACGAGTCGTTATACATAGCCATGCCCGTTTGTCTGTATGAACAAAAAGATCTAATAAAGCATAAGAGCTTAAAAAACCGAACTTAGTATCCGGGTTCTCCTAATTGATGCACCCCCACCCCCTTCTTCCACGCTATTAGTTACTTTTAATTCGCGTTCTACAAGTATGTAGTTTTTACTTAAATTGTGTGCTCATGTTAAATTTCATCATGATAGGTCACATGAAAAGAAACTGATAGCCATAAGTGTAATCTCTGCCCATGCTCTATCCACAGCTGTTGTTGATGATGCTTTGGCTCAACTCTGCACTGCACACTTACAAGAATACATAGCCACGACTTGATGTAAATGCATTCTTTCGAAACTGTGCGCCTCTATGTAAATATTTTTTATTCATTTTATTAAATTTATTTAAAAAAAAAATTAATTTTGAAATATTAAAAGAGTATTTATTTTATTTTTATATTTAAAAGTAGAGCCCCTTTCTTGTGCCCTGGCTGTTACGTGGTTCTAACGTAGCTTTTTTATTTTTAAAATATATTAAATAAATTCAGAGCAATATGTATTAATTCAGATTGAATCCAATCCAATCTGTATGCTAGAAAATTGTAGAGCTTTGAGTGTGCCTGAAAGTATGTGACGGCTTAGGTTGAGGCTCAAGGCCGACCGACCTTTAAACAAGTTTAGAAATCGGTCAAGCGAGTGAGAGGAATTTGTGAGGCTATCTCTCTGCTGGCCATTACCAAGTTGGACGAAAGAAGACAACAGTAGCGATGCAAACAGCCAGCCTAAACCTTTCTTGAATGTGACTCTAGCTGCGAGCACGTTTCATATAAAACTGCTGACACATTCCCCTCTCGCTTGCATTGGCTGCGCAGGCGTAGTAGCGGCTTAAAGCTCAGCTGCGAGCACTAAATAAACGAAACTTGCACGATTCAATTCTTGAAATATGCAACATGCAATCCATCTTGGCAGCTCGCATAATCAAATTGTCAACTAATTCATAATCTTAATGTGAAACAATGGCTATTTAAACGCAAATGAGACGGAAATCTGCTGAAATGATTGTAATTATTTTTTATGCCGTAGCAGCTGGACACGCCTATCCGAGGCATTTCAAAGCGCGTCGTTAGTCACGTGGCAATCGAGACAAAGGCGCAGAATCATTAATATTAAGCCAAAAGCTCATGAGATGAAATAAAAAAGATACCAAAACAAAGCAGAAACCGAGCTCCGTCGCTCAACGCACTGACACTTGACCCCAGAAAACACGTCTTAACCTTGGCAATGACGCGATGTTATAGCATTTCATATAGAGTGCGATCTCTCGATCTCTATGTCAGGCATTAGACACTAATACTCGCCTGCCTAGGGTCGCTCTCGGCTTAGAGCGCTTATTGTCTATCCGCAGCCCCTTCGCATCGACACGCAATTAATAAAGTAAGACAGACAAATTAAGCGAATACTTGTACGTAAAAAAAACAACAACGGTGCGTTTTTATGTATAAATAGATTGTGTCTCAGCGCCGGCGCTTGCATTCATCCAAACAACGTTGCTCGAAGCAAGAACCCCCAATCATTAGGCATTCCCCACGAAGCATTCTTAGCGCACAACAACAATGGTGAGCATCGAATTGTTCTGCATACTTAGTGCCTGACCCTTTTATGTACCACAGAGCTGGCTCAGCTTTCCCATCGTCTTCGTAGTCCTGCAGCTTGCCCTGCACGCTCATTTGGCGCACGCCGATGTCTCCCAGCTGGTACGCTCCGGCAATGGCTTCGTCTACGATGTGCCTAAGGTTAGCGAACTGCAACTGGAGGTCGACAATGAGTTCCCCACTGGCGATGAGTTCCCTCAAGATGCCATACCGGTGGCGCCGTCGGATGTAGAGCTCGGCGTTACTCACGAGGCGTCCACATCGAATGGAAAAACCAGCAGCAGTACGAGTAGCAAACATGGCTATAAGTATCAGGTGCCCAGCAGGCGTTTCAAGAGTTGAGCGTTTTGCCTGCTCTGCGCATTTGCTTGTACCAAAGTTGAAAAAAATATCATAAAATAAAATAAATACTTGTTCCGATCTAAAGTGGTTAAAAAAGACGTCTGTGGGTAGACCATTAGTAGTGGCTTTAGTTTAGCGCCCTTGCCCCATCCAACTAGATTCTAAGCCAATGTTGCCTTTCACTCTAAAGCCCTTGAGCAGGGCTTGCCTTGATATGCCGAGAGCGACGAATATGACGAAGATGATAAATTCACATAGAACCGAAACGTTGTGACCTCACAGCTTATAGATTTAATATAGTAATGTTGCGTTTCTATTTGCAGAAGCTAAACCGGTTCAGGCTCTTTATTCCCTGTCCATGTCTATAACGATTTCGCATATTTCAATCTAGTACAATATTAATATCACTGATCACACTTACGCGCGTCAACAATTAATTTCGCAGTGCGATACATCCCGCACGGACGTAAATTCCCATACTTCATTTCAGCAATGGCTATCGATCAGATCGACTCAGCAGTTCATTAACCTGCATACATTGAATAGGAAAGATGAACGCTTCAACATTAACTACCAAATTCTTGTTTTAAAACAAAAAGTGATAGTTGGACCGGCAAGCTTTTTGTTTATTTTTTAGTCGGCTATGATCGCCTCATCATATATATATATACATATATACAAAAACAGACCTAATCAAACTAATTAGTTGCCTAAACACAGTTCTCAGTTTGCCGATCGATTTGTCTCGGCATGGTGCTGGTTGACAGTTTTGGTATTTATGGTTGCGTTCTGCTCATCAATGCGAGTTGGCGTTCAATAAGATATGAATTCGATCTGAAGTTGACATTTAACAACTCTGTAACGACCGTTGCGCTTCCGCAAAGTCGAGGCTTTGTAAGATGACGTTGACTGCGACATCGACTATGTCTTTATTGTGATTTGGCAACGTTTTATGAACCGTCTTGTGCACTCAGAGAAATCAAAAAGTGCTGTCCGAGTCTAATGACAATAATTAAAACAACAGCATAAACTTAATTATGAAATTGCTACGGTATTCAGATTTGGGGACTGGCTGCGGCAGCTTTATCGGCTTATTATTGGGTGCGATTTGTAGGCCCGCAATTCAACGCTGCGCCATGACTTAGATCTGGCTGTAGAACTCCAGAACAGGTACACGAGCCATTGCACTGACCACCACCTTAGACTGGTCAGGCCATGTTATATATACATATGCTATATATATTACTGATAAGTAATTATCATAAAACTCTGTTGTGTTTTTTTTTTTATTATTATTAAGCTATGATCAAAATTAGCGGGTCAATTCACTTTCCCAAAAAATGAAATCAAATTCGAATATTCTTTAAAAAATTAGATCATTTAAAATATAAAATTATTAATTAAATTAATTATTAACACACTTAACATTCCATTTTCTTATTTATTTGCCCTTTACTCTTCAACTGATTTGAAATAATATTTTATAAAGAGGTCTTCATATTTATACGATTGGAAAATGTTTAGAAAAACGGATTTCCCGACAAGTATATATTTGAGTTCTTTTAAATGAATATTGTGTGACACATATTTTTTAACAATTTTTGCTACAAATTCATAAAAATATCCTCACCTCATGCCCCACACTCCTACCATATAGATTATCTATTTTCCCAAACATTAACCCCATCACCTTAATTACAAACCCATCAATACATAACTCCAAACTCATGTTTAAATATTTAAAAGCCACAAACATTTACAACAAAGTCTAAACCCAATCCCCATACATATGTATTCCTATTTTTTTCTCTAACACTGTAAAATGTACATACAAAGTTAGCTGAAGGCCCTAGTAGCCATTCCTAACATAATTCTCTTCTGTTAGTTTTAAGATTTTAATCTTAAGCTAGCATTATATAAATAAATAAAATAAAAGTAACTATAGTTAGCTAGCGTTGAAGCAAATGGGTAAATCGACATTATACAATCAGTTAAAAATCCTGACTACTCTTTTATGTAGCAATGGTAACAATGCCAAAGGTTATTTGGTAAATTGAAGACATTACAATCTCGATTCAATTGTGATCATTAAGAACTATTACAAAATATCATAGTTCGTTTTTCTTCATTTAGCTAGTTTAATTTATACATTTAGTTAGATCCTTGCAATCGATTTTAAAATGCAATTTTGAAATAGTTATAAGTTTCAATTGAAAATAAGAGGCATCTAAAGCTATTTATGTTCGACTATAAAATTGTGGTATGAAATAGATTAGTAGATACAAGATTTAAAACATTTCAAATAATTTGTCATGAGCTCTCCTCTCTGTAGCAATGCTGCACTTTTAATTGTTTAGCAAAAGAAAGTAAACATTCCAAACAAATTTCCAAGTTCGAAATAGCAATTCTTAGCTGAAATATAGTAAATTAAAGGGTTATTTGAAATAAGTGATATTTGAGAACTTTTTCGCTAACTGTACGCGTATGATCTGGTGAATCAGTGCCATGCGATGATTCGAGTATGCCGCGACGTGCTGACCACTCCAACTTGTTGATATGTGTGCGTAATTATTATAAATGAGCATAAATGATTTATGACGGTGGCGAGGGCTTACAACGAAATCGTCGCACTGCCACCAAGTATTGGACGGAATTACTGCCAGCTGCGGAACTAAAAGCCAGAGCTCGGAAGCAGCGCTTAATAGACAAATTTGACACAATAATAACGAAAAAAGAAACATAACTGTGGCGTGGCGGACCAAGTGACGATGTTAATGGAAAGCGAGCATCGCACCGTATTATACTTAGCGCCAAGAAAAATACAAAATAAAATAAAATAAAGAAACAAAGAGCCAACGCTAATATTGCATACCAAATGCTTAGGTGGACGCTAGCTGTTCGATTTAAATAATAATAATTGGCCTTTTGAGCCACGGACAGTGTCGAACTGTTTAGAATTTTGAGTATAAATAAACAGGTGCCGATGCCTTGGTCTATCATTGTCGATTCAAAAGCCCAAGGTGTAACGTACGCAATCATCTTAACAGCTGCCCAGTCATGGTTGGTATGGTATGCTAAATATAGGAACCGAACTAATTTGCTTATTGCATTGCACAGAGATTCTTCGTACTGACCTCTTGGATGCTGGCGCTGGCCGCTGCAGATGTCTCTCACCTACTGCAGGATCCGGAGGGCTATGGATATAACTATCAGGCCCCTAGTGTGCCCTTCGAGTTACCCGCACCTACTTACTTACCACCCACAACGACCACCACTACGCCAGCACCTAAGCCCGCACCCACTTATCTGCCACCGCCCCCACCACCGCCGAAACCCGCACCCGCCTACTTACCACCTACAACGACGACGACAACCACCACCACCACCACAACCACTACACCTGCGCCTACACCAGCGCCTACTTACTTGCCACCTCCGCCACCAACGCCGAAGGTCACCTACTTGCCACCACCACCACCACCACCAGCTCCTGAGATCCTGGAGCCCATAGTCGTGGAGGAGCCCAAGGAGGAAGGCTACCACTACGAAGCACCTGCAAAGCGTTTCATATTCTAGGAGGCATTATAAGCCACCACCTCTGTGACTGTTGACCTGGAAATTTGTTGATTTTGTTTATCTAGCCGTACCTTTTATGTAAGCTGTAAAATGTAAAATAAATCACGTTTTGTTAACCAACTATCTGCTTCATATCTTGCAGTGAGTGAGTGATGAGGGATCTCTAAGTCAATCACCGCCAATTGTCTCATTTCCTAAATTTCATTATTAGATATGCGAGCTACTGAATATTCATGACCCGCACTGCGATTTCAATCAATGCGTTTTGTTTATTTGATCAATTAAGCTCGAAATCGCCATAATTGTCTTTTTTCTTCTGTTTTTCAAAATGGAAACAACATCCAAAGCCCCAAATCCACAGCGGCACATGCCGATAATTGTTCCAAGTTCATGAAAACTAAGAAAAGTGTGAAGAAAACATACAAAGAGTGGCAGGCAAATTATGCGACGGCCTTTGTTTGCTTCCAATTCATACGAAAACAAATATTGATTGCTTCCCAAAGCCGAAATTGGAAGCTGGGCAGTCTTTAAGGGCTTAGCAGTGGCCATCAGCAGATCAATATAAAAAGCACAACGTCGGCGACACTGGGCATTATTTCGAGTCGTCAGCGAGCGACAGCAGCATCTGCATCGAAATGGTAACGCAGTCAAAGAAAACACACATACTATAGTATATGTCAACCATTGGAAAACTTAACTCACCGGTAAAAACTTTCTTTTTCCGCAGAAAACACAGCTTTTTCTACTGGCCGTCGCTGGGCTTGCGGCCTACGCTCGAGCGGACGTGTCACATTTGTTGCATGGACTAAGTCTGGATCCACATCACCATCATCACCAGGATCCTCATGCACACGGACACAATTTTCACGCACATGGACACGACCTTCACGGACATGGATACGATTCTCACGCGCACAATCACGGGCATGGACATGATCCTCACGCACACAGACAAGAACTGCACACACACGCCCATATCGACGTACATTCTCACCACGTTGATCACCACCACATAGATCAGCATTCCCATCATCACCATCATGATGAAGCCAGATTAAATACTCCCAGCGGCTACAACTACGCCGAGCCAGCCCCTGCACCAGCACCCAAGCCGAGCTATCTGCCTCCAGCGGCACCCAAACCACAGCCTAAATATTTACCACCTGCACCACCTAAGGAGAACTATCTGCCACCAAAGAGCGCACCGAAACCCCATTATTTGCCACCACAGAAGCCCCGCACTAAATATCTGCCACCCAAAGTTTCGCTACCCCCACCACCGCCACCACCTGTGACCCCAAAACCGGAATACTTGCCACCAGAGCCAGAGGTGTCATATCTGCCACCTGAGCCAGTAGCACCAAAGTACTTGCCGCCAAAAGTGAAGCCTAGTCTGCCACCTCCACCGCCGCCTCCACCACCAAGGACTAGTTACCTGCCACCAGCACCCAAGCCGTCCTATTTGCCACCAATACAGCCCGAGCCAACTTATTTGCCGCCCGAACCTGTAGCGCCCAAGTATCTACCACCCAAGATTGCACCAGTGCTGCCTCCTCCGCCACCACCACCGCCGCCGAAGGCATCCTATTTGCCCCCTGCACAACCTGAGACTAAGTACCTGCCCCCTGCGCAGCCCGAGAACGAGTACCTACCTCCCGCACAGCCAGAGACAAAGTATTTGCCTCCCTCAGAGCCGGAATCGAGGTATCTGCCGCCCACTCAGAGCCTAGCACCACCACACCACACCTCACATTTCGAGATACCCATACCAGCGTATGCACTGCCGTTGGGTCCGGCGCCCAGCCCACTGCCAGCCGAGCACCTTAATACGCATGTGCACTCGCTTGAAACCAAATACCTGCCGCCCGTTGCGCGTTCGTCCAATGCTAATCCGGTCCAAGGTTACCAGTACAAGGCACCATTCCGACGCCTTAAGCTGTAAGGCGCAAGCCGCTTAACACAAACACACACACACACACGTGTTTAACGACATACTCCGACATCTCTCTCTCTCTATCACATACACACACACGTAAACCTAATTAATACTGCATCTATTTTTAAGTTGTGCGAATAAATAGCAATCAAAATCATAAACCCAACTCGCAACCCAATTGGAAGCCTGCAGCAAATCATTTAAGATGCGACTCTTTTTGCAACTGCCAGCAAGGTCGTCGAGGGCGCTCCATCTTTCGTCACTTTCGACGAAGATAAAGCCAAAGCCAATTTGAAAACTATTAAAGCCAATTAGGTGTACGAGCCATCGATCGGTAAAAGGGCGACCGCCAAAACAACAGCGGCCAATCAACCGAACTCTATTTTTGAGATCATCGCACGCGCTGCAGCCATCACCTGCAGCCATCGCGGCATCTGGTCATCTCATAGGGTATAATTATTATTATTGGCCGCACAATGAAAAATGATCGGGGTCTGTTACAGAAACCTTAAGCAAAAAATTGCTAATTGTTGTGCCTGACGATGCGGCGTCGAAATGAAATCGAAACCAATGATGAACTGCAGAACAACAACCCCCCCCCCCCCCCCCCCCCCCCCACACACTCCGCACCCCCTTTCTCGTCCACACAACACTTTTTTAGCACTAAGCTACAAAACTAACAGAAATGCAAACAAAGCATGACACCGGCCTATTTTGATATTTTTTATAAAACAATAGAAAACAAAAGATATGCAAGACAAAGGCAATTTTAATAAACATTTTGTTTGTTTGTTGAATCGTTTGCATAATTCATTATTTTCATTATTTGATAAACTGAAATAATTTATAATTATTATGTTCCACCTAAGGAAATTGAGAGCTCAGCTATATAGCGTATTTGTTTTTTCTAGCATATAAAAGAAAACAAAAATATATCCATTTTCGTGCATACTTATAACTAATTGAATGATTTTTTTATTGAATACAAAGAACTAAACGAATTATTATGTACACTCTGACTCTGCAACTCGATTCGATTGGTGTGCTGACCAAATAGCTGATAAATACAAATAAGTATAGGCACCATTTTAATTACTCTTTAAAAATGCGAATCGTATCTAATTTTTACCTTACAACGTCATTATATTTTAATAACTCTAAAGTTTTGATGGATAATTTCAATAATGATAATAATATGAAAACAAAAAAAAAAACAAAAAACCGATGGCAAACGACTTTTGAATTCAAATATATATATCCTTTGCAATTTCAAATATTCAAATAATGTTGTTCTATTTATAAATCAATAAGGTATTGCAAAAAAAAGCGACATGCCTTTACAAACACCATTTCTAATATACATATTTATTTAGCAAGTGCTAGATTCGCTCATCCGGTTCATAAAAAACATTACTTGAATAATTCAATTTCAATTCGCACTTGAATCACAAGAATAACAACAAACAAAATTGCGTAGATATTTTAATTCTGGCTATAACTTCTTCAATGGTTGTTCTACTTATAACTAAGCTCGAAAAGAATGTAAGTGGAAAATTTTGTAAACTGCAGAGATTAAAAAACAGACGTTTTCAGTGTTGGATGAAGAACCCGAATGCCATAGTTTAGTGATTCTAGATGCTATAGTTTCCGAGATACTTAAGTACGTTTATACAGATGGTCGAAGAAGCGGACAAACTGACAAACGGACAAACAGTCAGAAAAACATATCGAAGAAGAGTCTGCCACTCCTTCAATTGGTTGTTAAAAAAATTGATCGTACAAATAAAAGGGAAATTCACAAGTGCGTGCTAACGGTAAGATAAAGATTCGGCCAATTAAAGATTACTTAAAAATGTTAGAAAATATTCCGATATTTTAAAACAATAGAAACAATAAGCCCCATGACCCACCTACCAGTCCATGTTGCCTAGTGTTGTCAGCCTGCAGCGTCGCATCGTTGTTGCTGGGTTGTTAACCATACGCACCGTTGGCCTCTGCAATTGTTGAGTGAGTGGGGCCAATTGATTTTGGCGTTCAATAGCGTACCATATGGACAACGCGCCGAGTGCTCGCTGACCAGAAACTAGTGCAGCCCCGGCCATTAAAACGGTCTTTTAATTGAAATCCAAACACATAATTTGTTGGGGCGCCTCTTCACGCCGCGCCAAAGAGTTCAACAACAATTTTAAACGTGGGGTCATAAAAACCAACACGTTTTTTAGTTGCCGGTTGGAACAGACCGAAAAAACAAAAGCACGGCGCATTGAAATAAAAAAGATTTAATAGAATACGACACAAAAATACGTGCGATACTTCGAAAAAGTGGCTGGCAGGCTAAAATAAATGGCGTTTAGCTGACAGCATCGCGTCGGCGTTTTATGTGTGTGAGAGGTTGTGTGTTTACTTCTGTGAGTGCATGTGTGTGTTTGTGTGTGCGTGTGATCTGGCTCCGGTTGCGGCTGCGCTATTTTGGCGCAAATAAGTCTGCTCGATTCTTACTATAAATAACGAAGCAGCTGCCGGAAACCGTATCATTCGGGACTCGATCGTCGCGGAGAACGTTTACCAGAGATTAAGCATTTACTCGTAAACAACATGGTGCGTACCAGAATGGAAATTTCGACCAAATGGATACTACCACTACTTAACCCATTCCTATGCACTTTCAGAAAGTCATTGTACTCGCTCTGTGCAGCCTAGCGCTGGTCTCTGCCGATGTTTCGCATTTGTTGGGACACGATCACCACCATGATAATCACCACGATCATTCGGAGCATGAAGGCTACAACTACGATCCACCGAGCACCCCCTTTGAGCTACCCAAGCCCAGCTACTTACCACCCGAGCCACAGTCCACTTACTTGCCACCCGGACCAGTGAAAGCCGAGATACCCAAGCCCGAATACCTCCCACCTGCACCGGCCCCTGTCAGAACTCCTCAACCCAACTACTTGCCGCCCGCGCCCGTCAAGGTTGAGCAGCCGGAGCCCACCTATCTACCCCCTGCACCCATTAGTGTCGAGGAACCCGAGCCAGCTTATCTGCCTCCTGCAGCGCAGCCCGAATATAAGATTCCCATCCCATCCTATGCGGCACCGCTAGAGCCCGGAAGCACCTACTTGCCCCCCCAGGAGGCCGTCGAGCCACACAGTGATGATGGCTACCACTACAATGCCCCTGCCCAGCCATTCTTCTTCTAAGCACTAGATGTGATTAGTCGCCACTAGCCAGTCCATATCACTCCCCTCTCTCCACATGTATATACTTATGTTTGTATTGTATCTTGTCTAGTTATTTATTGTTATATGCCTGAGCAATCGCACTTATAATAACAAGAATGTGTAGCTATTATAATTATATAGAAAGCGAACCTTTTTAAGGGTGTAAATTTGTTATTCGCACTCGATTAAGGTTAATTAAATCAAATTTATGTTTATCCAAATATGCATTTTAAAGTCGTTTATTCAACTAGATTGGTGCGTGGAACCCAGACAACTTCATTATTAACACAAAGGAAATTTTAATAATTAATGAACTCACTGATTGAAAGTGAAGAAATCAAAAAACTAACTCTTCGCTGACGCCGTTTTTAATATTTCCAAACGTATTCGTATATGCGAGCCTTTGTTAGTAACTGGAGAAGGGGAAAGGTTTGGCAAACAGATGAAGAATTTGCATCGATATTGAGGTTAGCCACTGTTTTGAAAATAGTAGGAAGATGCTTTATATAGGCGCTGTTCTTGACCAAAATCCAGCGCTAATTCAAAATGACCGAAGGGTACATTAGATTGGAGGGAATGCAGGTAATACTCAGAAGGAGGATTGTACACAACTATACCGTTTATGTACATACATATGTGTAATATTATATATTATTTGTTTGTTTGTTTTTTAGTTTTTATTTTGGAAGCCTTTAATTAAAAATATAAATATAAATTAAAATGGGGAATAAAGGAATGCGCTAGCATTTAATATTTGTTTGTTAACATTTGTTATTAGATTATTGTGTGATTATATGTTTTTTTTTAAATCAACAAATGTGGGCTGGTTACAATAAATATATGAAAAATAATAAGTTTTAAACTTCAATAACAAGAAAGACTCTAAAATAAATGTACAACAATGCCTCTTACGCTTCCAACACGTTAGACAAATTTTATTTGTCTCGATTCACAGCCAAATATGGTTGGAGACATTATAGACCTAAAAAAAATAGCGAATAGAGTAGAAAACTTAATTCAAATTAAGAACTACTTAGATTACTGAAGGACCAAAAAGAGTGACAATTTCAATTGAGGTTCGGTAAATATAACTGCACTCTCATTACAATCATCTGCCTTAAAATCAACCCATTACATTCATTAAATTGAAGATATATCTCCTATTTGCATGGCGTACATGGCGTAATATTATTATATACTTAAAAGTAAATTAAATTAAATTCTTAAAAACTGGATAAAAGCTTAAAAAACTTAATTTTGATTATAGCTCTACAAAATTCATTTTTACACACCATAATTGTAAAAAAAAAATAGATATGAAGAAACTTTATAAACACCGTAAACTTCTTTTAAACTGAACAAAACTAAATTTGATTCTAGTTCATATAAGCTACGCACTTGGACTTAACATTAGCTTTATAATTTCTTCGAAGAAAAACCTTGCTTACACACGGACTCGAGCAATTCATCGCACGATCCACAATAATATAATTCAGTTCTTACACACTCTACGTGCTGAAGAAGAAGGTCTTGGAACACACTATCGGACAGACGGACAAGGGTAGATCGTTTCAACTCGTGTGGCTGATAACAGATCACTTTAACCTTTTGTGAAGGATGTAAGCATATTTTAAATTCCACCCCACCCCTCCTCTCCCTACACCTCCAACATAAACATGTCATTGTCTATAAGCCACTCATGGTTTTCACGCACACGTCACACGCATACGTCGATTCTCTATTTGAACTTGACTTTGCGGCAGTTGTACTTCACTGCCGCCGACCGGACTGCAGCTCGGAAAATCCAATAAGAGGTATTAGCCGCAAATGGCCACGAACTTGAGGTAAGTAGCGCAGTGCGCATGACAACATAATTACAGCAACAAACCGCTTAGACACTCGTCGAGTCTCAAAATAACTTTAAATGCGCTTGAGTCTCTTTGTTGCGATCGTTCGGTTCGTTGTCTGTGGTCAGCAGCGAATCTAAAATAATACTCGTATTGACCACCCACCGGCATTTGAATACGAAGCGGTTTTATTGTTTTGGTGGGCGAGTAATTTGCTCCAACCAAAATTCTTCTACAATTTTGAGTTGATTAATTGCTCGACCATTCGTATGAGTTATTACTGCAGTGGACAAATGGATAAATGCGATCCAAACCACTAATTCTTTAGCCGATTTACCGCTGATTTGTAACGCCTTTTTAGTGAACGTCTTTAAATTAATGTCACAACAATCACTGCCATTGTTGACTTTATAGGTGTGAAGCCTCCCTTCTGCCGCTTATTCGTCTCCCGTGTCATCATCTTTTAAAGCCAGCCGCTCTGTGAAAGTGAAATACCTCGTAACTAAAGCAGGAAATAAATAATTAATTTTTCGGGCATTTGCAATGCTCGTTTAGAATGTTGTTGACAAAATTAATTCGCTTTATTTAAATGTGGCGCATGATCTAATGTTTGAAACGGCATTTGAATTATGCTGCTATTTATAAATACATACTTGTACATACCGTGCATACCTTTTGGAACTTGTTCAGCCACCCGCTGAATTGTGAATTATGCTCGGCCTGTGAATGTGACTGCCCGCTATGAATATTCAAACTAATTTGCCTTAAATCATTTAGTTATATGCTATTAAAAGCGGTATCTTAAACTGCTATAAATTAGTTCTAATCGCTTTGAGAACAAACCAAAAACAAAGCGATCGCACACACACAATTTTCAAGCCTGTTTTGAGATTCTTTTCAATGCTGGAATTTTAATGTATAGTATACTTTAAGGGTGTTTTGAATTATTATCCAAATCAAAATATTTGTCTACCATATTGTTGTCTAATTATACTATACTATGGATACTATGTGTCCATATTTAACCATTTACTTCCTTTTCGACAAATATTGGTATAGATTAAGTATTTTAATGCAAGCCTTCAAAGAAAGAACGATAGATATTTTATACAAAGACCAGATTAAATATTAAGTTTATGCTTTTGGCGTAAAATTAATGCTACTTACCTATATATACATATATATATTTATGTACTTACTACATACAAGTATGTATGTAATACAAGTAAAAATACATAAGCTGGTGACTCAGAAACGAACTTGATAAAATAACTAAACTATATTTCATAACATTTTAATTAAAAATATAATAATTATTTTAGTGTTTATTTAATATATTATTTTAATTCAAATATTAAAAAAGCTATGCATAAAGAACAATTCAGTAATTTAGTCTTCAATTATAAAAGTGCTTACTTCTGCCCTCACCATTCTGTGCATCAGTTGCTACATAAATTCAAATCCGCGCAACTTTTTCAACTCTACTGAACTCACCATGACTACTTTTTTATTAGGTGGCAATATCTCCGCACATATCGATTATTATGCTGCACACAAAGCAATCGTTGCATTCTATCGTCTCTAGCTTAGTCGTTGAGTTTCGTTGCAGTCGTCGGGTGCGTGGTTTGACTGCGGCAGTTTCTGTTTTTGTATGACAAATTAAATATTATTAAGCATTTACGTTTCGCTGTTGTTGCTGAGACTGGGCAGCGCTAACAAGTTTTGAACGCATTGCTAAAACAAATTTTCAACGCTTCGCGAGGCTTCGTGCATTCGCCCCTATATATTTTCGCCACATTTGTTTTGTGCTATCTTTCGTGGTTCGTTGTTGTTATTGTTGCGTTGCTGTTGCCGTTGCGCTCATTTGTACATGGAATAAGTTAATTTTCATTTAATTTATGCGAAATTACAAAAGCGAATGTGAAAAATATAAAACAAGCGACAGCCAGGAAAACCATGCAACGCCTTTGTAAAAGGGTAAAAGTGTGGAAAATTGTGCAAAAAAAGTGTGACGTCGTTTCTGCTGCCCTCTTGCTGTCGTGATGATGGCCAATTTCCACACTAAAACGCAGCGACGTCGACTGCGACTGCACTGGCATAGACAGCTGCTGCTTTAGCAAGAGTAAACAAAGCGACACACACATACACAGCCACGCACACACGCACAATTATTAAAGTGACGACGACGACGACGTCCTTCGCCTTGCGCCCGCTGGAGACCTCAGACCCAGACCAACAGACAACCTGCGCATCAAATTACACATCATCACCATCATATCATCATACTCCTCACTTACAACCTGTTTGGCGCAGACAGGAAGTTTTGCAACGGAAGCATCGCGACCACCAGCTTAACGATTCTACACCTCTCTGCGGCAGCTGTCACCAAAACTCTTCACATTTGAAGCTACGTTGTTGGGTATGTTTGTATTTATGCATGCATGTACATATGTACAGCTGTATGTGTGTCTCGTCTCTTCGGGGAATTCGCCCAGTTGTGCTCTTGTTGTTGTTGTTGTTGTTGTTGTTGTAGTACTAGTGCGTGGCAACTGTTCAGATTTTCAGCTCGCTGTCTGCCCGCTTGATTACAATCGCCAAATTCCAATTAAATTTGGAACACTGCCCCCTTTGTTACGTTTCTTATTAGGTTTTCCATTGAAAATTGCTAGCCGCTGGCCTTGCTCGCCAGCTTGCTCTCTTGATTTAGTATATTCTGTTGTTGCTGCTGCATGCTGCTTCCAAATTGCACGTACATATGAGTAGTATCTGTTATTCGCTCTTCACATTTCCGCCTGAATAATTGCTCAGTGAAATTGACTAAAACTTTTTGTGTCTGTCACTCAGTCCATAAATTACTCGCCCCACAACATTTAAGCGCCTGTAAACGAGACGGCTTAACTGCACCTCATATCGATACAATCGCTAAAAATAAACGCAGTACTCATTCAACTGCAGCTTTTATTGAGCCACACTGATTCAGAAGCCCCCCAACCACAGGCATGTTTCACGCCAATCTTATCGGAGTTTCCCCTAATTCATACGTCCATATGTACATTCATACATACATACATATGTACATATGTATGACTCCCACCTCGGCACGCGTCGTGAATTCTTTAGATAGCGAGTTCCAAGACAATTGCAGTTGCGTTGTCGTTTTCAGTACTGACGTAATTGTAGCCGATTGTGGCGTACGCTTGATATGCGAAACCCCGATATGTGTGGCGGCCTTCCCATAAATATTTGTGGGCGCTTTCGCTTTATCGTCAAGTTCAAGTTCATTGCGCCACTCACTGGCCTTTTGTGCTGCCGGACAACTTATCATTTCTAGTATTACAACAAAGACCCTTTCACTGATCAAATCAAAACCATCTATCATGAAATATGTAGAGTGTTGGTGTCGCCAATAATTCTTTGGATTACTTCTGACTAACTATTGATATTCGTCTCACTATATTTTAAATACATACAATGCCTGATAAACGTCTATTTACTGATTTTGTTTTCTCCACTAATATTCAATTTCGAACCATTCGTTCAACTATTAAAGGGTGAAAATTCCTAAGTTTTAATTTTTTATTTATTTATAAAGACGACAAATATGGGCAGTAGGTCTTTGAAAAACTTGTTTTAAAACACTACGACACTTTTTATATTTTTATGATAATGCGAAAAATCGTCTCTCAGTCTCTTTTGTGGTTTTTGTTCCCAGATTATTCTTTTGAGAACCCGATTCAAACATAGGTGTAGTATCTAGCTTGCTCTTAAACTGAAATTACTTACTGCCTTTTAAGATCGTTTAAAAGAATTTTGCAAATTAAAATATCCAGATTGTTGCACACGTAAAAAATATTTTGAATGGATTTTAAAATTTTTTCCAAAACGTCTGTCACGTGTTTTGTTTGTTTGCTCAATTCAGCGCCAGAATGGGATCCCCTTCTGGTGGCGATGGCGGCCCAAATGAGACCGCCTGGCTGGAAGATTTGCTGCGGGAGGTGCAACTGGAGCAATTCCTAGAACGGATCCGTGACGATTTGCAAGTGACGCGACTGCCACACTTCGACTATGTGCTGCCCGATGATCTGGAACGGTGTGGACTTGGCAAACCGGCGATACGCCGGCTTATGGAGGCAGTAAGGAAGAAGAAGGCACATCAGTGGCGCAAAAACATACTCTCCAAGCTGATAGGTGGCGGAAAACAACCGTCTTCCAAGAAGCAACAACAGGGTCAGTCGGCAGTCCGGGATGCGCAGCAAGGCAATGGTACACAATTAACGTGTCTCATACACGAACGGGACATTACACTGGGTCTTAAGCTCGGCGATGGCTCCTTCGGTGTAGTGCGACGTGGCGAGTGGAGTGCTTCACCCACCGGGAAAGTTGTTCCAGTGGCCGTCAAGGTGCTGAAGTCGGATAATCTCACCCAGCCGGGCATCATTGATGACTTCTTTCGCGAGGTGCAGGCCATGCACGCTCTCGACCATTCGAATTTGGTGCGTCTATACGGGGTGGTGCTGTCGCAACCCATGATGATGATCACAGAGTTGGCGGAACGCGGCTCGCTTCTGGACACGCTACGTAAGCAGTGCCGGCACACCTCGCTCACACACATCTGGAACTGGTCCGTGCAGATAGTGACGGGAATGGCGTATTTGGAGCAGAAACGTTTTCTTCATCGCGATCTCGCCTGTCGCAATGTGCTTCTGGCCTCCGGAAACAAGATCAAGATTGGAGATTTTGGTCTGATGCGGGCACTGCCGCAGGAAGACGATTGCTATGTTATGTCCGAGCACAAGAAAGTGCCGTTCCCCTGGTGTGCACCCGAGTCGTTGCGTTTTCGCCAATTCTCGCATGCCTCGGACACATGGATGTTCGGCGTCACGCTTTGGGAAATGTTGTCGTTCGGCGAAGATCCCTGGGTAGGTTTGAATGGCTCACAAATATTGCGCAAGATCGATCGCGAAGGTGAGCGACTGCATCAGCCAGATGCATGTCCACCAGATGTTTACGCCATGATGCTGCAGTGCTGGGACAAGACGCCGGCAGAGCGACCCACATTTGCGGCTCTGAAGTAAGTAATTGGATGCTTTGATGCCTATTTAAAATCAACATTTGCTAACCTTGTGTCGTTTCTTTTAGGGAATACCTGGCGGGCATGTCACCTCCATTGATGCGTGCCTCACGCAGCTATCACGAAACCAAAGGCCTGCAGATCGAAGCGGGTGATACTATTGCCGTCATCGATGGTCGTCCCGAATTGAAACTCATCAAGGGCCAGAATCAACGCACCTTCGAGATCGGCATCTTTCCTCGCACCCTGCTGGAGAAGCACAAATTGGGTCATGGCGATGTTATCTTGCGCGAAAATGGCCGTCAGTCCGGCGGGAGTGCCGGACAATCACCCTTTGGCTTCTGCTGGGGCGGTGGCGGTGCCTCCATGGTCAACGGCGAGGACAGAAATCGCAAGTGCGCTTCCCTAGCGCACACCCAAAGCTTTGGAGCGCAGCCGGTGCAGGGTCATGCCAAGGAGCGCAAGTCTATATCGAGCAAGCAATTTGCGTACAACAAGCTGGTCAACGAGGCAGGTGTGCTGCAGCGACGCAATGCCGTCAAGCAACGTTCGTCGCAGAAAGGTTCGGGACCACAGCGCCCACCGCCGCCGCAGTTGCATCAACAGGAGGGCATACTCATCGACATTTCGCCAGAGCTGGCAAGTGGTGGTGAGACACGCCCCTTAGGAGATAGCTCCTCCCTGAACATGGACAGTTCCTTCTGCATACTCGATGCGCCCATTGATGTGCCCACGTTTGGAGACACACCCTCCAGCCCCAACACGCCCACGTACTTCAACGAGCAGCCGCAATTCGAATTTGAAACGGGCGCCGTGGTTCCCGTCGTGGGTGTTTCGCCTGCACGCCTGCAACCGCCGCCCTACCAAATGCCACCCACTTATTCCAACACCATGGAGTTTGCGCACCAAAAACGCGAGCAGGTACAACAGCCAGCGGCACGGGATCCGTTCGATACAAGTAGCTTGGACGTGGCTGGGGCCCTAACGCTCTACTCTAACGTCACTCAGTCACCGCCGGCTCCTTTACAATCTACGAGCGCAATCTACAGTAACCCCGCAGCACGTAAAAATCTCTTTAACAACACCAACCCATCCACAAGTAATGGTTATGGCAACAAGGAGAACATACCTCAAGCTGTCGAAAACACTGTAGCTCTAGACTCTGCGGTCCACTTAAATTTGAGCAGCCTATCTCTGGAGCATCATGACACGACCACCACGATCACCAGCTTGGCGGCAGCTCCACCAACGGCAGCTGTCGTAAAGCCTGTAGAAAACTTCCTACTTGATAAGTCGTTTATAGCCGAATTGGAAAAGGACTTGTACAGCGGCAGCAATAAGGTCCAGAGCGACTACGAACGAAACACGGCCCAGATGTATGCCAACAAGGAGATTGTTTACAAACAGAATCTCACGCCACTAAAGAACACAGGCACTTCAAATCACTCCAGTCCCTCCTCCAATATCAACGCTTCGCCAAGTGTGCGCCCATACGAGCCAGCGCTTGTTCACACCACGCCCAAGCAGAACAATGTGGAGGCGGCAAATACAGGTTCCACGACGCAGAGTGTCGTCAATCGCATTTGGTACGAACAGGTGGCCGCTCCTTCGGAATATTATGCGCAACCGCCGACAGATGAGCAACTGTACGCCAACCAATTGGCACCGGCGACTGGAAACTCTACTCAAGTGGAGGCAAACCACTCGTTTGTGGCCATTTCCAATCGTGTTGTGGCGCCTCTGACCAATGCATATGCATCAACAGCTTCGCTTTATGGCAGTCTCGGTGGCGGCGAACGCTACGATGCCGTCGCCTCGGCAGCCAACTCCACATATTATGGACAAGTTCCGCAGCCGTTAGCTACAAATGCAGTCAATGGAGCTCCATCTGCAGCAGCATTTTACGATGAGGTTACGTTCGACGATTATCTGCGGCCTCATCGTCCAGCACCGCTGGCACCACCACCACTGTCGGCCCAGCAAATCCAGCGACGACTGGAGAAGATGCGCCAACAACAGCAGCAGCAATTGGATGGTGCCAATAATTTGTATGCACCAGTGCCTGCAGAGATTGCCAGCGAACAAGAGAAGGTACAACAGCTAATGCAGGACCTGGGCTCGGCAGCATTGGAACAGGACGTGCGTAATGCCTTGCGAGCCGCCAGTGGTGATAAAAATCTGGCTCTACGCCACTACAAAATCGATCAGTTGACCCGTCTGGGCGTTGCCAACAGGCAGCTGTGTGAGCAGGCCTTGCAGCAAACGGGCTGGAGCTTGGAAATGGCAGGCGCCCTGCTTTTGGAGACGACAGCGGGCTAGGCACCACCCATCTCTTAAAAGGAACATCACAATGTAATTACCTTTATCGAAAATGTATTAGTATTGCCTCTTCGCGAGCCGTTCTTTAACACACAATTGCTGAATACAGCGGTATTTCGTTTATTTTAAGTTTACTTAAGGCCTTCGATAAACTCCTCGAATATTTGAAGAATACTCATCAGTTGTGCAACGAGAATTTCAACTACAGCATCCCAGACTGATGGCGTAGTGTATATTTTTTCAGTTTTTTAGCATAAGTGGCGACGTAAAGAACTTTTATAACTGTTATGCATAAATGTCATGAATGTAACATTTAGTTAGTTAAATAAATAAATTATATGTAATTGTTACTAAAAACACCAATACACGCCTCATTCTCTGAAAATGAAGATTCCAAATTATATTTTCATATAGTATTTTTGAAAACCTTGTACAATGATTTCCGCGAGATTTTAAACGTTTTCAACCAACCATATAATCGTTTGGTGCATACATGAAGTAGCTGACCCAGTCCCAGAAACTCTAATTTTAAAATAAGATTTAAGCTAAGCCTAATTGATAATGCCAGTAGGGAAGGTAAGAACATGATTATGGCGACAGAAGCAGCGACGAAATGATCAAAATTTACTTAAATATACCAAATATGTAGAGTACGGAAGTGTTTCAATTTTATTTCATTTTCCAAAGATGCGATTCTATGTTATTTTTGCATATCTGCGATTGAATCTATAATATTCCCAAAAATAGTATTTCAATCCTTTTGGGAGTATACCTAATTCTGTTTTTACACGGTAGATTGGTTCGATAGCGATTCGAGTCATAATCGCTTAGCATTCATCATCATAGCTCAGACTGTGTAAAAAAACGGAAGTCGATTACTTAATGAATTTTGCTTTTATTATTATTATCCCAATATTATTTCTGAATGATTCCTACTATATACATAATCACAAATGCCGAAAAGAAAGTGAACAGTTGAGTAAAATAGAAAAGAACCAAACTTCGATTTGGATTCTAAGACCGTTACTCTTCATCTGGCTTGGGACAGCATGTCCCAATTTGTTATAGGAGCATATCAGGATTTTATGTGCCAGGAAAATCTGTATAAAGAACTTATTTTTAGCACTTTCTTCCATCAGATACAAAAAATGGGTATTATTATGCGCATTTTCTAAAAAATAAATATAGCACCTAGAGTTAAATCATAATATTACAACAAATTGTAAGGTTAGTGGTTAAACACCCAATGAGTGTGTACACACACGAAATCGTATGATGCGCTTGGTTTTGTACACACTGGTGCAAAAAACGCTGCCCGGTAATCGTACATCGATATATCGCGGTCGTCGAAACACCGCTACCGTCTGGCATCCCTAGAAGACACAGTTGCAATTGAATCGCCGAAGGTAAAGCAGCGTTGTGACGCATGCGGGTTCGTTTCGCATGAAAAAAGTAAATAATACGGCGCTAGTGTGTGTATATAGATTTGTGAGAGAACGCCTTGTATATGACGCATAAAACATACAAATTATATGTGCAACATTTGAGTAGCAAAATTGCTTAACATCAAACACAAATTTTAGGAAGCTGCCCGAGCAGTTCTATTCGGCCAAGTGCGACTGTGTATGTGAGTGTGTGTGTACGTGAGTGTGTGCCAAATTATGTAAAAAAAAAAAAACAAAGCTCTTGATGATGCTTGTGTGGCCGTGGCTGCGCTTTGCTACTCGAAACTTAAGTTAAAAACAAAAGCAATTTTAACGATCGTCGACGCTGCTATAAATTAATGCTTAAGTATATGCAGATGTATTAAAAAATATATGCAGAAATTTAAAACAAAAAAAATCGCATTGTTTAAGTTCCAATTGTCTCGCTCGCGCCTACAAAGTGCATAGTCGCTCTTCGCTCTCGACACGGGCTTGCTTCGGCTCTCTGTCCCGCCGCCGCCTCTTCCCCACCACTCATATATTGCTGCTGGCTGCAACGAATGCCGCTGCACAAAATTTCCTTGACGTCATCAACAGCAGTGGTAGCAGCCGGTTTTTTGTTGTTTTACTTTTATCTCACTTCAATTCAACTAAAATCGAGACCAAATGATAAAAATTGTTTACACTTGATTGGGTCTATATATACACACACACACACATATGTATGTATGTATGTCTAAAAGTATCAGTGCATTTGTGCCGCTGACTACCTGCCGTGTCTGCCACTATTGCCGCTGCTCTTGTCGCACTCACTTGCCCTTACCCTCACCCTGCTCTGACACGTCTGCAGTTTACCTGCAACGTCGCCGATGCCGCCGCGTTTTGTTTTGCTTGAGAAACTTCTGTTTATGTAAACGAAGAAAAGTATTAAAAATTGCTCTTTTTCATAGAAAATTAAGCACACGTTAAAACGAATTTCCCTAGCGTGCATTTCACCTAATGCGTCTTCGCCTCCGTCTGCCGCGAAACAACAAAAAAGAAACCAAAAATTAATTAACCTTTACGGATACACAACTTCAACCTCTCTTCCTCTTCTTCTATTCCTCAATCGAATGCTGCTCCCGCCACTGCACTGTGGAATACATTACCATCAACATTTGTGGATTATATCAACAAAAATAACAACAACAACAAAAACAACAACGATATCAACAGAGGCAACGTTTCAGCAGTCGATTTGAGAAGAAACAGCGAAAAGCAAGAGCATAAAACTGGCAGACGAAAACTCAACGGAAAACTCCGACAAGATGAGCTGGGGTACTGAGTTATGGGTAAGTCCGGTCCCACATTTTAGATAAACTTAATTTGTATAAGTGTACACTATTCGAAAATTCTACGTAGATTAAAACTTACGTACATACAAGTATGTACATATATCTCGATTTCTTGCCCAATGAGTTGACCAAGCTGTCGACTATCGTACAGAAACCGAAACAGAACGTCTCTGGGCCCCGCACGTTGGAAATGTCTTGAAACTGAAAACTGGTTTTGCGGGTTTTATGTAAATTGTTGCCATATGTACGAGAGCGCCAGTGCTTCGACTTTATTTTGTCGCTGTGCCCCATGCGTTTTCTGCTTCTTCTTCTTCTGCACAATTTTTGTGGAGCCCGAAGCTCTGGCGCATTCTTTGCAGCTGTCCCCGGTCCAGCAAATGAAAAAATGGTCAGACTGACGCTTTTGGGGCTTATGTATGTTTGTGGCTACCATTGTTCCTCTGTCCTCCATTACCACTGCTCAGCTGTTTTACTGGTTTGGGGTCTGCCTGCATGACACGCCCGATCAAATGGCACATACCAAGTCTCTCAATCAATTCGTATGGCCCACCTGGCTGCATGCCTCACCCACCCCTTCCCCATAGTGCCGATTGCCAGAGTTTGCGGGCGTGTTGCATACATAAAGAATTTTGCACAGTTGCTGAAAAATTTTTTGCGTGCTCAGCTGAGTCGGTGTTTCTTTTTTAGCCATTGGCTTTAGTGCTGAACGCTGTAACTGTCTGTCTACTTTCATTTATCGGCAGTTTTTAGGGGTAGTTTTGTGCATTTTCGTATGCCCTGCGCGCCGCCCCTGCGCAACGCTCCTGCCTGCAACTGGGCATAGTTCTTCCTCTTTCCCAATTTAATCTCATATATATGCACACAAGTACGTGTGTATGTGTGTTTATGTAGTGCAGGCTAAAGGATTTCATGTCTACTATCACGTATATATATATATATATATATATATATATATATATATATATATATATATATATATATATATATATATATATAAGCATATATACGTATATCCTTACATATATATGTATATGGTACAGTAATATTTAGAAATGTGCAGGAAGGACACTGTTGGTTCCAAATATTGCGTGAGTTAACAAAACGGTCAATAGTTCCACGTATAATCAACTGTATCTTTATTTGCTGTATTTGTATTCCAAAGTTCGCATTGATATTCATTAAAGCTGGGCATTCTATTGCATTTTCATATTAATTATATGTATTTGTTCACGCGCGGATAACTTTTCAAAACAGTCTTCTAGTCATAAATATATGCATAAGTAATAGTGAATCTAATTTATGGAATAATTAAATATAAACGAATCAGTTTTGATTACATTTGATAGCATTCCTAACTATAAAATTCAATTTAGTTATACCTTTTATTTACAAACGTAATATCTTCATAATATCTATGTCTAATAAATGAAGATATATTTATGAACAATCCACAACAGAATGAAAACTAAAATGATCTCAGTTTTATTTGAATGTATAGAATAACTTTGCATTAACAAGAATTACTAAGCAAACCCCAAAGCCGAAATAAATATGTTAACGTTATGTTTCTTCTCATATATGCCTGTAAATCTTTAACGAGGCTGGCCAATATTTTAAGGAGCTACTGTGCTGTGTGCTGTAATTCTGGTTTCGTTAGTTCCGGATTTAGTTTTTGAATTGTGTGCATTGTTGAGTTTTGGAGGATAAACAATACTTTGTATGCGACAGTGAATACAAAATTTACATAGCTACACATTAGAAACTTATTTGTATTGACAAGCAGATGACTCAGTTTGGATTGTTCAAGTAGCCATAGTATCCCAGTGACCATGTTTGGTGCGCCATCACAAGCCCCATCGAGTGTCTGCAGAGCATGCCCAAAATATTTGCATAAATTATTTACACGCCAATCTATGGACAATAGCTAGACGAAAAAGAAATGCGATATGTAAGATTTATTTGTTTTTATATTCATATGTATATAAATAAATACAATATGAATATATGTTTTTCATTACCAATACGAATCGCACAACATGCAAAGGCAAAGAAAGTGTGACCAGTAAATAATTTACTCGTTTTTTTTCTGCCACGTTTAATTGAAACTGGCACGGCAGCAGCATAAATAAAAGTTAAAAATTATATTTATGCTTCACAATACTTACTGTGGGGTGCGCTAATAAGCGGCTCTGTCGGGCACTTGGCTAGCGCGTGGCTAAGCGGGTCAGTTGTGCGCCAACTTACAAAAAAAAACTTTCTTTGCATTTTTATGAACAAAATTTTCACTTTAATTAAATTTGAAGCATGCCCGTTCGGCGCGTCGTCTTAAAGTCATAAACGCTAAGCGCGATGCATATGCAAAAAAAAAAATAGCTGAAAACTGTTTTAAAGGCCCGTGTCAACGACAGTAATGCACTGTGGGTCGTATTTTAAAGCTATGCGAACAAAATATTTATGAGGTCTTCAACTATGTAAATGCCTCGAAATGTAGGTGTATTATTTCATTAATATTAGTACATACTTCTATTAAAAAATTGTCCTTATTTTCTAACAGCAATTTTAACGCAAGTTGTCAAGAAAATTATTGCCTAAGAAATCTGAACAAATTAGCGAAATTTTTGGATTTTTGATATAAATATATAACATGCATTGACAGGTAAAGCCTCAGCGTTAATGAATAATTTAATTCAGAGAAAATACATGTGTTTCTCTCTAGACGCATTTCTCAAATACTTGTTCTGTCCGCCTACCTTTAGAAACCGAATCATTAATGCAACGCCTCTCCCTCTCACTACTTTACTTCCCTCCATCTCTCCCTGCTATGCAAAGTATTCTAAGAATAGATTGCTGCGATAAAATCGTACTCCCACAGCATGGGATGTATGTGCCAGTACAAGTATATATGTACTTTTTGGTTCACTTGTTTCGTCTTTTCGTGCAATTTGTCCCGAATATTGTGTTGTGGGTCTTGATCTTTAATTTCCGAGCCACACTCACGACATCCAGTCGCTAGCTGTTAAGTTTTAAATCTTTCGGCTGTTTCATGTCTCTGCCGTAAGACTATAATCTTTTTTAAAATAACAACTGAAAATCGGGTCATGACATTCAGGCGGACGCAATGAGCTTTCAGCACGGAAATCATTTAGCAAAGTTTCAAATTATTCATTCGACAGTCTCCACCATACATGAATGTATTAACATTTCCAATTTTGGAAACAGCTAATGAGCTTAAACGTTAGCTTGTCCAATATTAGCGGTTAACCATCGCTTAAATTGGTGATATATTAAAAGTTGACGCAGTCCCGCTAAAAATAAACACAACAAAAAAATAAAAGCTATTTTATGAGCGCCCCGCTGTAATGATGAGTGACACAGTTTAGGCGCCCCCCTAAACGTTTCTACACATGCACATTTGTGCACGATGGGGCCTTTAACAACTTCTATAAAGAGAGAGCAGGGCGATAAAAAGCAGCATCAGCGATTGCACTGTCCACGTATAACATACTTTTTTATTTATTTACTTTTCTTGGGGGCGCAGTTTCAAAAGAATGAGGTCCAGCTGACCCAAGCTCATATATCTTTTAGCAGCAGGTAATTGCAGTTGCTTTTCAGTGGTGTTGATTCATAGATGATGGTGGAATAGTCAGCGATTTTCCTAACGTGCCAAGATTGAAATCGAAATGGCCGACACACCCCCAAACGTGCACCAAATATTGACACATGAGCTTCCCCCAAAGCCTTCTTGCGCATTTCCAATTAAGTCATGGCAAGACTTCAACAACTGTAGCTCAAGGCCATTGCCCAGACTCCCCACACATGTCTCTATGTATATCGTGCCCTTAAAGTAACCCCTCGAAACGCAATTTTTATTCTATTTTTGTGCAGTATTCTTCCTGAATGTGCACCCTATCTGAACAACTTGCCGCCACATCCCATCGATTTTCAAGACCTTCATGATGGCGCCTGTCTGCCTCAGAACTTTCGCAATATGCTTAGCGACGCATTAAGATTTTTTCTGGCATTCTGTTGCTCGGGGGATTACAAGTTCGTGTGGTAAGAAGATCGGGGTGGCAGCCCTCTTATTGCAATTTCGACACTCGACGGGTGGTTGCAATCATTTTACCGTTTCCGTTGCAATTTCAAGTCGCAGCTTCTAAATGTGATTTTCATATTCAAGTCTCGTAATTTATGTATCAGATGTTTTATATTCTGCATTTGAAAGGATGTTGCTGCTGTAAGAACGTTATAAAATCACAAAAAACTGAAAAAAAGTAGTTTCATGAAATGTATCTGAAAAAAACTACAAATTCAAACTGCTATCCAGCTTGAATGCCTTTCAGTTCTAATTCAATTTGATCCTTAAATGTATATAATCTAGCGTACTTGTTAAAAAAGATAGTAAATTTAAATCAAATTAGTTCAAAGAAAGGGACTTGCAACTTGAGCTCTTCAGTTAAGCTTTAAAATGGCGGCGCTCCGTATCTCTCAAGTTTTATCACTCTCTCTCTCTCTCTGCCTCTTTTATTTCAATGCAAATGCACGCGTTTTTAATATTGTTTTTTGCAGTGCCACTCAAACGTCGACTGCATATTAAACTACATAATCTTTTTCTGTGTTGCACGGATCACCTTGCCTCACGTCGCGACATTCACTTCGTCTGCTTTGTCTGCATCGCCGACTATTGATTTCAGTAGCCTTCAGCCAGATTGCGCTGCACGCATATTAAGTAAGTGGCATGTGGCGAATCTGCATATATACATGGATATATGGGATACTTTTGGCCACAGGTATCATATGCAAATGCAAACCATTCGAATTACGGCGCCAGAATTGTGACATATAGTGTCTGCAAATGGTTTCTCAAAGCTTTTAATTGTAAAGTTCAGTTTCGCACATTGCATAAAAATATAAACGTATCAGATATACATCAGTTAAAATATAAAAAGAAGTCATCATTATCATAATCCTCTCAGAATGAAAATGGTTCATTTATTTTA